TGCACTGATATACAATGTATTTTGACTAGGTATGTCCCCAGCACATTTCTGTCCTAACATGGCCTCTTTGTCTCACCATCCATGTTTAGCTCCTAAAGAAAGAAGACAAAACCCTGCCTGCCTATTCTGATGGCTTCATGGAGGTAATGGCATTGCATTGGTAGTTAGTTTGTGGATGAAGATGTTGTTTTTCTTTTCAAGGCAGATTGATATTAAGTGACTGTTCAGTACCTCAGCTTCCTTAGCAACAAAATGGGACTCCAGTAGTGTGGTGGTTTTGGAGTCAAAGCAAACAATCCATGTAACATGTTTCTGTTTAGTCCCTGATAGCTGCTAAATGCTCGATAAATGGACTGCAGTGATCAGTATGGGCATGTATATGAGCATATATGCATTTAAATTCCCAAAATAAGGTAGACGAGATGGCTCAGAGGGTCAGAGTGCTTGTGCCAAGCTTAAAGATCCACGTTCAGTCCTTGAGACCAAATTGCTAGAAGGACCAACTCCTGCAGATTGTCCTCTGCCTCCCACTTGCTGTGGTACACGAACCCACCTCCCTGTCCACACACAGGCAGTATAATAAATGTTAAAAACTATTAATTTCTCAAAATAAATGTTTAATCCAGACAAGTTATCCCTTAAATGTAAATGATTAAGTAGAAACCCCACACTTAATATTCATTTGCCTTTATAATGAAATGTGACTAGAAATGTTGTCTTTATTTGTGTGTAATATATTAAATAATGAAAGTTGTGTGAATGGGAATTGAGCCATAATATGAGTTAAAGTGAGAGTGTATACAAGGCTTCTGTAGTAGAATGGCCTTTATTTTTAGCATTTAAAATTTTAAAAATTTCAATGTCATCACTGTGTTTGTGTGTTTACAAGGATACAAGAGCCATTGCATGAGTATGGAGGTCAGAGGGCAACACTGTGGAATCAGCTCCTTCCTACATTTCAGTGGGATCCAGGGATTGACCTCAGGTCACCAGGCTCACACCACAGGTGCCTTTTAATGAGCCATCTTTGCAGCCCACATGTTATTAAAATTATCAAGTGATTTTTTTTTTCTTTAGGTGCTCAAGGCTCATGCAAAGTTAACTACATTTTATGGAGCATTTGGACCAGAGAAATTCAGGTATGTGCATCCTATTTTTAAATTTTGGGTTATGAATGAATTATGTTCGGGATATCATGAGAAAGGTAGTATTCCTGTGAGTGATTTTGTATCCAAGGGAAGGAGGAGTCTGTGTGTTCCAGTGATAGGAAATATTGTCTTCCCAGCAATACTTAAGAGCTGCGTCAACATTTTTGTCTTGTTCTTGGTCATTGCCTGTTTTCTAGTGGCTTAACTTACCATTGCTGTTAAACATGTCTTGTATGTTTAGGTAATTAAATTCTTAGCGTGTGTATGTGAGTGCATCTATTTGAATTCAGTTTCTGGGACCACAGTTGCTAAGGCAAAATTTCTACATATCTACATATGTCCTCCAAATATATTTGTTCTGATAGATGGCTTAGAAAATGCCTGTTTTCCATTCATTCTCTTTGTCAGAAAACTATTGTTTTTCTAATCTAAAGTATTACAAAACTGACTTGATTTGGTTTGACTCAATTTTTTAATGTCTTTTGTTTTATATAAGAAATCTTTTTTCTTTCTTTTTTTTTTTTTTTCTTTTCTTTTTTGGTTTTCGAGACAGGTTTTCTCTGTAGCTTTGTAGACCAGGCTGGCCTCGAACTCACAGAGATCCACCTGCATCTGCCTCTTGAGTTCTGGGATTAAAGATGTGACACCATTGCCCCCCCCTTACTTTTTTTTTTTTTTTATTTTTTTGAGACAGGTTTCCTATAGCCTAGGCTAGCCTAAAACTTGATATGTAGCTGGCTCAATTCTCCTGTTTGATGGTGTTAGATCCCTTGGAACTGGAGTTATAGACAGTTCCGAGCTGCTGTGTGGATGCTGAGAATTGGACCTGGGTCCTATGGAAGAGCAGCCAATGTTCTTGACCACTGGGCCATCTCTTTGGGTTGTCTATGTTGTGATTATCTGATCTGGCTTCCTTACTGGAGAGTCAGTGCCATTAGTGAAGATGACATGAGTTCTCTAGATTTGGGAAAGGAGACTTACTTGGCACTGTGGAATTTTTAGATATGTTTTGTTTTTTTTACTTAATTGTTTTTAAAAAATGGTGGAGAGATTGGTCATCAATAAAGCACACTTGTTCTTATAGAGAACCCGGGTTTGGTTCCCAGCACCTACATAGTGCCTCTCAGTAATTGATAACTCCGGTTCCAGGGAGTCAGACTCCCTTCTCTGACCTCTGAGAGCACCACACACATAAGTGGTGCAAATACATGTGTGTAGTAGGCAAAACATTCGTACACTATACACTTGAGTGGTATAAATACATACATACAGGCAAAAATTCATACACCTGTGAAATAAAATTAAAATTTTGAAAAGGGAAGTAGTTGGATCCAGCTCAAGTATGGCCACCAAGTATGACTGCCTGAGTTCAATTCCTGAGGCCCACATGATGGGGGAGAGAATCAGTTCCTATAATTTGTCTTCTGACCTCTACATGTGTGCCTCGAGCAGTTCCCCCCACTAAATAAATAACAGTTCAAAATAAGTGGCTAAGATGTATAATAATACCTATTTGGAAAGTATGTTTTTAAACTCCTAACTTGGCTTTTCTCTCTGATTTCTCAGTGGTAGCTCTTGGATTGAATTCCTGAATAGTGAAGATGTGCTTGGAGATATTTTTATGCAGCTAAGGGAAGGAAACCTTGTTTGTGCTCAGTATCTTTGGCTTAGACATCGGGTAATGTATTCTGCATTTTTAATTTATTGATTTCCAGAGTCTGAAATGGATGGTTGAATATTGGGAACTACCAGGCTGTCAAGTATGACTGGGCAGCGAGTGTTTCTAGATTGATAGGCTGTCGACTGACTCGGGAGATTATCCTCAGATAATAGTAGATCAGAGGAGTGCTGTGGCTGATAGGGCCTTATTTTATCCATCTTCAGAGTCTGATCAGCTCTAAGATGTTCCTCAGTAGGTCCTCAGTAGGCAATATTTTTATTAAGTGACTTATTAATATCACGCTTCTGCCGATATGGTGGAGATGATACTATTTGGATTATAGTAAAGGAATACTCATTAAAGGTATTTATCTTAAGGCTGTGTGCAGTGGCACATACCTGTAGTCACAGATCCTCTGGAGGCTGAGGCAGGAGGATTGCTTAGTCTAGGAGTTTCAGGCCCGACTGAGCAGTATAGACACCATCTTTTCCACAGATAGACTGTTTAAATCCCTTATGTTGGCTGATATTGACATATAATATTTAGATTAAAAAATGTTATGCCACTCATGAATATTCTTATTAGCATTTGTATTATCATCTCCAGTTGTATTTTCCTTTGGATACAATCTCTTCTGTGTGTGTTTATTGTCTATTGCTTATTAATACAATATTTCATGAATTGTGACTCTCCCTCATTTGAACTAATTGCATAAAGTTCCTTTCTCATTCATTATTAAATCAGTAACATCGCTGGGCAATATTGGCATACGCCTTTATCCCAGCACTGAGGAGGCAGAGGCAGGCGATTCTCTTGAGTTCCAGGACAGCCAGGACTACATAGAAACCCTATCTCAAACAAACATGCAAAAAAAAAAAAAAAAAATCAGTAGCATAATCTTTGAAATGGCTTTAAAATTTTTTGTTTAAGAAAATAATTTGCAAGCGGGGCGTTGGTGGCGCACGCCTTTAATCCCAGCATTCGGGAGGCAGAGGCAGGCGGATCTCTGTGAGTTCGAGACGAGCCTGGTCTCCAGAGCGAGTGCCAGGATAGGCTCCAAAGCTCACAGAGAAACCCTGTCTCAAAAAAAAAAAAAAAAAAAAAGAGAAAAGAAAATAATTTGCTTCAGTTAGCATGCAAAGTAATGGGTTTTGCCAAGGCATTTCATGTATCTATGTCATTGTACTTCGTTTTTTATTTTTTCCCCTCTCACTGCCTTCCCCAAAGATAGAGCAGGTCTTTGTCCTTTGAGGGGTTGTTGGTTTAAATTTGTCAGACAAGTCTTAATTTCTAATTCTGTAATTCAGGCTGACTTTGAAAGCAAGTTTGATGTGAAGATGCTAGAGAACTTGCTGAATTCAATTTCTACACAAGTTTCCTTGGAAAAACTTTGTTCATGGTTTAAAAATGATGTGATCCCATTCGTGAGGAGGATTGTCCCCGAAGGACAAGTGAGTTTCTTCTAGTATTTCCACTCTTTAAGACTTAATTTAATGCTTCATATTAGATTACTGAGAAAGTCCTTTAAAAGGTGATACAACTGGATGCAATGGTGCACACTTCTAGTCTCAGCACTTGAGAGGCTACGGTAGAAGGATTGCTAGGAATTTGAGTCCAGTCTACATAGCAACTGCATAGCAAGTCCCAGATCAGCATGGGCTACAAAGTATCTGACTACCATGCTGGCATGTGTGAGGTCTTGGGTTCAGTGTCCAGCAGTGTAACTGGTATATAAATAACTTCTAAGAGATGGCTATAGGGCTAGAGAGATGGCTCAGTGGTTAAGAGCACATTCTAGTCTTTCAGGAAACCTAGGTTTAGTTCCCAGCACCCACATTATGTGCCTCACAACCATCTGCAGGTCTAGCTCCAGGAGAACTGATGCCCCCCTCCCATGCATGCATGCATTCACATACAGTTTTTAAAAATTCTTAAAAACTGATTATAGAAATTTTGTGTTGTAATTATTGAGAATTTTACTTTTAAATGTTATATCTATTTCAGAACATTCTTGCAAAGTGGTTGGAACAAGCATCTAGGAACCTAGAATTAACTGATAAGGTAATACCTGTGTATGAAATATGAAAATAACATTTGCTCCCTCACAGCAGCTTCAAACTTGATTTTTAATGGTCTTTCATATTTGTAAAAGGCAAACTGGCCAGAAAATGGACTTCAGCTAGCGGAGGTGTTCTTTACAGCAGAAAAGACAGAGAAGTTTGGATTTGCATCCTCTTGGCACTGGATTTCCTGGGTATGATGTCGAGACAGATTTCATGGTGAAATAATCACATCATGCGTGGTATGGGAAGTATCAGCAAAAGGATCAGAAATTCAAGGATACCCTTGACTATGTATCATGTTCAAGGCCAGCCTCAGCTACATGAGAGCCTCTCTCAGAGACAGAGAGTTTATATTTGGGTTTTGAGACAATTGCTCCCCTGCTGCCTGTTCTCAAACTTTTCACAAAGAAGTGAATTTTAGATTCTGGTTTCGCCCTCTGTGTACTTGTGGCCAGTACTCATTTCTTTGAGATAAGTTTGACTGTGTTTCCCTATCACACTTTTGTTTTGTGTCCTTAATGATGTTGATGCTTTTGTTTTAGAAAGATTATCAAAACACAGAGGAAGTCCAACAGTTACAGACACTGGTAATCAAGTTGCAGGAGCTGATCACCCTGCATAAGAAATACAACTGCAAACTATCCCTTTCTGAGTTTGAGAAGGTAGAGTTCCAGCCCCGGGAGCACCGTTTTGTTTTGGTATCCAGTTGTGGCCAGACTCTGCGTCATTTACACCATCTTCCCTGTCTCATCTCCAGGAAAACACGACCACTATAGTGTTCCGGATGATTGACAGGGTCTCGGCACCAGAGCTGATCCCCTCTGTCTTAGAAAAGTTTGTGAGAGTTTACATGCGGGAACAAAATTTGCAAGAAGAACTTCTTTTGCTTTATATAGAGGTAATATTTTAACTTTTTAAGTACTTATTTCTTATTGCATGACTGTGTGTGCCCACAGACGTGGTGCCTGTTGTGAAGATCAAGAACAACTTGGGAGACTCAGTTCTCTCCTTCCTCCACATGGGTCCTGGGTGTCTAGCTCAGCGCCTTTACCTGCTGAGCGATCAGTCCCACTTTTTGATTCTGAAATTTTTGCAGTATGTCATCATGCTAAATCCTGGCTTCACCACTAGCACCTATGAGACATTTGAATTGATCAAGAATGTAAACTAATTTCTGCTATAATTGTTGAAGGATCTCCCTCCTGGCTATTAGAGAGGCTGAAATGCTAGGGTCACTAACGGTCAAAAGTTCAAAACCAGCTAGGCAGCATAATGAGGTCCCATCTTAAGAAGAAAAAGAACAGGAGGACTTTTCCCAAGGGATTCAATCCGTACTGGTTTTGGCTGGGAGAAGGTACTAGGGATCAGGCTTCTGGAGTCCCAGCTTGGTCTGTCTCATTAAAGGTTTGTGCCACCACATCCAGCCTGTGAGCTTCTAATATTTGAAAAATGTATGTTTCTCTTTCTTAGGATTTACTAAAGAGGTGTAGCTCGAAGTCAGCGACACTCTTTGACACAGCATGGGAAGCGAAGGCCATGGCAGTGATAAGATGCTTGTCTGACATAGATGTAAGCAAACACTGACTGTTGGGTTTTCCTGTTTGAAGTAATAAGTTTCCTTTTCAACAATGGCTTTTTTTTTTTTTTAAAGATTTTATTTATTTATTATGTATACAACATTCTGCTTCCATGTATATCTGCACACCAGAAGAGGGCACCAGATCTCATAACGGATGGTTGTGAGCCACCATGTGGTTGCTGGGAATTGAACTCAGGACCTCTGGAAGAGCAGTCGGTGCTCTTAACCCCTGATCCATCTCTCCAGCCCTCAACAATGGCTCTTAAAGCTGTTTTCTGATCATAAAAATGACATGTATTAGGGAAACTTTGTAGAATGTAAAAAAAAGATAAAAACCATACATAATTCTATTTCCTTTGATTATGGAAAATGAGAAGAAAGTTCACCCATTCCTATTACCAAAAGAATTTCCATGGTCAGTTGGATGCTTATCAGGCCAGGAGCTGGAGTTACTAAGATGGTGCTGGGTTTCAGAGTGATTCCCCACTGTTATTAGTTCTATTATAAAGATAGGGTGCATGTGCTCCTCGTTTCAGCATTTAGGATGGCAAGCCATATATGAAGCCTTGTCTTGGGAAACAATAAAGGATAGGAAAATAATTAAATATCTAAAATACAAGGGCAGCCCTGATTGACAATGGGTTAGAGAAAGACATGACATGAAGTTAGGAGGATCTGTGTGAGTCTGGGGGCAGCTTGCCTCAAATTCACTCAATAGCAGAGGGTGCTCTTGATCTTTATTTATTTTAGATTTATTTTATGTTTTATATATTAATGCTTTGCTTGCATACATGTTTGTGCACTATATGTGTGCCCAGAGTCCATTGAAGTCAGAAGAGGGTGTCGGATTTCCTAGAACTGGAGTTCACAGATGGTTGTGAGCTGCCAGATTTGGGTTCTGGAAACTAAAGTCAGGTCCTCCGCAGGGGCTGCAAGTACTCTACTATTGAGCCATCTCTCCAGCCCCTGAAATTGTTCTTTGTGTGTAACAATTGGAGAGAATATATGCTTTTGCAGGCAGATGAAATGCTCTTGCTGCCCCACACCTGCTGTTTGCAGTGCCAGTCACTTACATGAGTGATGCTGCTGAGGGCTGGTCACTGTCCCTGTGTGGTCTGCTTGTAGCTCATCTTTGATGCTGTGCTGAAGATCATGTACAAGGCAGTGGTTCCCTGGAGTGCAGCTGTGGAGCAGCTGGTGAAACAGCACCTGGAAATGGACCACCCCAAGTAAGCTTGCAGGACAATGATGTTTCTGTGCCCTGCTCCAGCCTCCTGCTTTTGGGGTGACAGCCAGTTGTGTTTTTCCATTGGCTGTTTCACATAGTCATGTTAATATTAGTACATTTTGTTCAGGGTCAAGTTATTGCAGGAAAGTTACAAACTGATGGAGATGAAGAAACTTTTACGAGGCTATGGAATCAGAGAGGTGAATCTCTTGAACAAGGAAATAATGGTAAGTGCTAGTTGGATTTGGTTCCTCTACTTTCTTGTAATTCTAGAGCAGCATAGGAAATTGACTGAAGATTTTCATATTCTCACAGTTAACAGAGCTAGATTTATTATGTGGGAGTGGGTCACACATGTGCCATATGAAACATATGAAAGTAGAAGGAAAACTCAGAGGAGTTGGTTCTCTCCTTCTACCATGTAGGTTTTATGAAGTGAACTCAGGTCGTCTGACCTTTACTCACTGAACCATCTCACTGGCTCCATAAATCATGCTTTAATCTTAGATCCAGTTTTGGGTTTTTGTTTTTTTTTCTGCATTGTAAAAATATTTTAGACATTTTGCCTTCATAAGCAACTGATTTCTGGGCTCTGTAAGTCTTCATGTTAAGAAATACGTGTTGTCTCTTTCAGAGGGTGGTCAGATACATTCTCAAGCAAGATACCCCGTCTTCTTTAGAAGATGCTCTGAAGGTGGCCCAAGGGTACCGGCTGTCTGATGATGAAATCTACAGTCTAAGAATTATTGATCTGATTGACAGAGAACAGGTGTGGAAGTTTTAGATTGTCATGGGGCTGCTTTGTTGACTAAATCTCTACAGAAACCAAATTGTCCAAACTACTTTCACAAAACAAAATAAGCTATGTCAACATGAAAACGTAGTATATCAAAATAACTACTTTTAAACAGTATTCTGTGAATAGATAATGGGCTTTTACACTCTAGTTAGTACAGCTCAAACTCAGGCCTTACATATGGCATAGGAATCTTAGATTCTAAAATAATGTGTGTGGGGTTTGTAGGGTTTTTTCCATCTTTTTTTTTTTTTTTTTTTTGTATGTCAGAGGTCCAGACAGGGTTTCTCTGTGTAGCTTTGGAGCCTGTCCTGGCACTGCCTGTGTAGCCCAGCTGGCCTCAAACTCAGAGATCCCCCTGCCTCTACCTCCTGAGTGCTAGGATTAAAGGTGTATGCCACCACTGCCCAGCTCCAGCCCTCAGATTTTTAAAAATATTAAACTGTAGCCTTTTTTTCAAAGTGTCTTTTTGTCTTGTTTCCCATTCTGCTAATTAAGCCCAGGTCCTCACTCTGGACATTGTGTCCATAATTTTAAAAAAATAATTTTTTTTTTCTCCTTCTCACTTTCAAGTAGAAAAGAAAGAGCTAAGTTCAAACTGTACCTTGCAAGGCCCAGCTGTTTATTGTTTTCTTTCTAACACGGTTCACAGAGGGATGACTGTCTCCTGCTACTGAGGTCTCTGCCTCCGGTTGAAGCTGAGAAAACTGCGGAAAGAGTCATCATTTGGGCTCGACTGGCACTGCAAGAAGAGCCAGACGGTTCTGAAGAGGTGAGGGTGTTGTTACCTGAAATGTGGGGTTGTTGGGGTATAGATGTGGGGAGGGCAGGACCTTGAATTCCAGGCCAGCCTGGCTCCCTTACAAGTCCTTGTTTCAAAAGAAATCATTGAAGCTGAACGTGCCCTCAGTAGAGCCAGTCACTCTCCTTTAGAGATAAGAGACCCAAGTATCAGGTTGTGTGGCATACGACTTCAATGCCAGGCAGAGACCACCAGCCTGCTGATCTACGCAGTGAGTTCCAAACCAGCCTGGGCTACATAGTAAGACCCTGCCCCTGCCTCCACCCCCAACAAAAAAACTTAACAGAATAGTTGGATTGTAAAGCCTTAAGAAATGCCTCCTAGCTTTAAATAAATTGTCTACTTTTTCACATAAAGTTGGGATGTAGGTCCTATTGTAGATTAAGTGCAGAAAATGAGCTTCTAAATGACTTTCTTGTTTATTAGAAAGGAACAGAGCCTCAACTCAAATTTGTTTTGGTACTGCCATTGGTTCCATGTGTGTGTCGTGCTGGTGATCGAATGCGGTCCTCTGCTGCTGAATTACACTCCACCTCCATCATGTCCTTTAATTAAGACTTCTCTTTTTGTGTTTTGTTCTGTTTTTTTTTTCTCTCTGTTGTTAAATCTTCTAAAAAATTGCTGAAAGCCTAATTATTTACTCCATTTAAATTACCTAAGTTATTTGTTAACCTTCTACTTTGTTCTCTTAAGTGTTTTACCTGAGAAAGTTTGTAAAGGTTTCGTGTGACTCCGAAAGAAAAAGAAAGGTCTGGGGCTGGAGAGATGGCTTGGTGGTTAAGAGCACTGATTGCCCTTCCAAAGGACCCAGGTTCAATTCCAAGCACTCACATGGCAGTTTACAATTGTCTGTAACTCCACTTCCAGGGGACCTGACACCCTCACATGGGCAGGCAAAACACTAATGTTCATAAAATAAAAATGAATAAAAATTAAAAAGAAAAGAAAAAAGTCTGTCAATCAGTGTAGTTGAAAGGATATAGGTTAGAACATCTTTCCTGGTATTTCTAAATTTGGTATCAGTGAGGCTCCCTTTGATGCTTGTAACCCCTTGCAGCTACACATAATCTTCAATCGGTTCTTTTACTATTTTTCTGATTCCTTCATTGTTTTTTTTTTTTGTTTGCTTCCTTTATATTCTTTGTGTGTGTGTGTGTGTGTGTGTGTGTGTGTGTGTGTGTGTGTGTGTGTGTGTGTGTGTCCAGATAGGGTTTTTTTGGTATAACAGCCCTAGCTGTCCTGGAACTCGCTCTGTAAATCAGGCTGTCCTGGAACTCACAGAGATCTGCCTGTCTCTGTCTCCCCAGTGCTGGGATCAAAGGCGTGCATCACCACCTGTTGATTCCATTGTTCTTATGTATGTTTTTGTCTGTGTCCAGCTGAGGTGATCGGTAAAGAAGCAGATTTCACTTTGCATATTTTAGGACAAGGCCTGGAGAATGTCTGTGGCGAAGACATCAGTGGATATTCTCAAAATCCTGTGTGATATCCAGAAAGGTAGTTTCTCTAGCCTCTGTTCCTCAACTTGGTTTTTGTCCCAAAGCTCGACAAGGCTCTTATTGTCTAATTTTACCCATTTTTCCATGGGAAAAATCTAAAGCCTTTTCTTTTTTAGTCATATTAGACCAAAGTATGTAAAGTTGATTTACTTTCTGTTCACATGTTCCTGTAAGCTGTTCATTGTTAGACCAGATACCTGATTGTTAGAACAGATACCTGTTGGCGATGATAAAGAAAGAAAGCCTATTTAAACTTGGACTTACAACAGTTGAGAAAATAACTTTCTGCGGGGCGGGGGGCAGAATTTGTTTCAGAAGAATTGCCATTCTTTTTATTTTATTATTTTTAATTATGTGCATGTGTCCATGAAGGCCAGGGAAGTTGGACCCCTGGAGTTGGAGTTCCAGGTGGTTGTAAGCTACCTGATGTGTGGGCTGGGAACTGAACTCTGGTCTTCTAAGAGAGCAGGGCATGCTCTTAACTACTGATTCTTCTTTCTAGCCCCTGCCAATTTTATTATAACCCTTAAACTTCCCTTTGCTGCCTCCAGAAAGAAGTTTCATTTTTTTCAAATTTCATCTTTTTTGTACTTCAATTATGTCATGTCAGCAGCATTTCGATGGTTCATCAGGTAAAGTCACTTGACAGGCAAGCCTGACAACCTGAATTCAATTCCCTGGTGGAAATCATGTCAGTATGCAAGGGCATTGCACACACACACACAAACTATAAGTAAAAAATTAAAAATTGTTACACTGGGCTGGGCAATGGTGGCGCACACCTTTAATCCCAGCACTCGGGAGGCAGAGGCAGGTGGATCTCTTTGAGTTCGAGACCAGCCTGGTCTACAAGAGCTAGTTCCAGGACAGCCTCCAAAGCCACAGAGAAACCCTATCTCAACCCCCCCCCCCAAAAAAAAATTTTTTACATTGGCAACTGAAAAGCAGCACAGAAGACTTGGAAGAAAACCAAGGTAAATTAATATGTTAGCTTTTTAAAAATCCTGATAATATAGTATGTTATTGTTTCATTGCTGTAACAATATAACCCAAGATTGGTTAATTTAAAGAATAGTGGTTTATTTAGCTCATAGTTCTGGAGACTGAGAAGTTCAAGGGCATGGTGCCATCATCTGCTCAGGGTCTGCCAGGGGCCTTGCTGCGACCTCAGGTGACATAGGGCATCATGCATTCAGAAAGACCAAGCTAGAGCCATCAAGCACTCTTGAAATAACCTATTGATCCATGACTAGATTAACCCATTCATGATGACTTTGCAGTCCTGCCTCCTACCAGAGATCCTGCCTCCTGTCATTGTGACATTCTGGGGAAATTCAAATTACAGCATATGGGATTTGTACATCTGCTGTAACTTTTAAAAATGCAGTTACAGGCAATCTACAGAAGAAGGATGATTCTGAAGAGTTCTTGAAGCAATTTAAAGTGGTTGCTAGTTTACAGGTAAAGATACTACACTACACACCCACCCAGTCAGTGCATCTGACCTTAGTGTGTTCAGCCTTCAGACAGTGTGACACACTGGTTCTTTCTCAGCAACTGTATTGAGATGTAATTCATGTATTGTACAGTATTAATTGATAATTTTTGGTATACTATATTCCTAGTTTCTTAAGATTATAGTAAACTAATATAACAAAATGATCTGTTCTATTTTTCTGCCTTCATTTCAGTGGCATTAATTACATTTGCAGAGTAGAATTACCCCAAACTAATGGTTAATCCTCCCCTCTTTTGCAAGGCTCCCCACAGCACAAAATTACCTGGACCCAGAGTGTTAAAATTATGTTTTCTTATTTTCCTAACTTTTAGTCTTGGTATTTTCTTACTTTTGAGCCATAAAAATCTGAAATTCCTAATTTATAAGTGAGTGATTTCTCAAGGAGGGGGTGAAGCTTAATGCAGAGTTTTAACCCTGAGTAAACTTGGGGCTTCATCTCACTTTGCTGCAGGAGAACTTTGAGGTCTTCCTTCCATTTGAAGATTATAGCAACAGCACCCTGGTAGCCGACCTTCGAGAACAGTATATTAAGGCACATGAAGATGCACAGGCTGAGCACAAACTCAGGGGACCCCCAGGGCCCACCCTGGCCAGGGGGACAGACCTGAGCATCAAGTCAAAGCTGCACAGACAGGCACTGGCCCTGCAGGTGTCTGCACAAGAGCTGGAGGCAGAGTTGGCTTTAAGAGCCTTAAAGCACGGGAAGGTGGGAGCAGCACTGAGCAAATGCAGGTGACACCAGGATCCCCACTTTGCACAGCTTGTCAGAAAGTGACATTTGCTTTGTCCGTTCTGTCACTGATAAGCATAGGGTCAGGGCCACTTTCATTTTTATAAAAGTGATACTGGGTTTCTTGAGAGCCTGTTTTGGGGCCTCTTTATCCAAAAATAGTGGTGTGGAAGGAAAATAGACCCTGTTCAGTTGGTCACATGACTGTTGAATGCTGACTCCTGTGCCTTGATCCTTAAGGGTAACTAAAGTACTTTGAAAATGGATCACTTCATACCGTGAAAAATTTTTGTTGTTGTTTTGATGATTTTTGATGATATGAGTATGAGTGTTTTGGCCTGCATGTATGTATGTATGTATGTATGTATGTATGTATGTATGTATGTATGTATGTATGTGCACCACATGCATCTTTAGTGCATGACAGTGTCAGATCGCCTGGCATTAGAGTTATAGATGGTTGTGAGCCACCATGAGGGTGCTGGAATGGAACCTGGGTCCTCAAGAGCACGTGCTCTTAGCTGCTGAGACATCTCAGCCCCCACGAGAAAGCTTTAAAGACTTTCTGTGTGTTGCTGTTAGTGGTTAGATATAAATGCAAGCAGGATAAATGGATGTGCTTTTGATCTGAATCTTCACCCCACGATTCTTTCCTCTGCAGATACTTGCTTAACTATTACTGCAATGCTGACACGGGGAGGTTGCTGTTTCTGGTTTGTCAGAAGCTTTGTCATATGTTGGCTAACGATGTTCCAATGACAGCACCAGTAGGACTAAATCTTCCTTCTGAGATACATGATCTCGCATGCCAAGCTGCCACCCTCTGCAGTACAGGTGACAAGATGTATAAATCTTCATATTCTCCCACACGCTGTCTGTGATAACTGCACTCTGGAAACCACACAAGAGACAGCTCCTCCTTCTTACACTAGGGTTAGCAGCCCAGTTGTCCTCTTTAGTGCCGAGTTAGATGACTGAGAGACAAGCTAACCTGGGCTGCTTAGCTAGACCTTGCCAGTTAGTCAACCAATCAGTCAGTAAATTCCAAAATCCATTAACACTGTCATTTCTCACTATTGATGACATTTGCTTTTTTATGGCCATGGCATTTCTGACCTCCCCACATTGATCTCTGTCAGGCACGCTTAAGCACTGACAACTGTATTCACACCCTTTGGCTTTCCTGGGGGTTTAAGTGTTCATTAGTATAAGGTTGTTTTCATTATTCTGAAGGATTAATACAGGAGTTTTGATGATCCTCTACCCTTTCTTTCAGATACTTTGCTGGATGCTTTAGAACTAAGTAAATACACTTTAACTGCTGTGGAGCTTTCCAGACAGTGCCAGATGGATGACTCTGGAATTCTGATGAAAGTAAGCCACTTCTGAGTTTTATTTCCGTAAACAAAACTGCTGCTGGTCCCGCATGGCACTTCACATCACCTGCACAGTATATATACATACCAGATTTACTACTTAGCTTTTTTTTTTTTTTTTTTTTTTTTTTTTTTTTTTTTTTCCTTTTTCAAACCTCTAGAAATCTGTCCTTTAAATAAAAAGCCATGGATTCAGCTTTCTTTCCCAGGCACAGTTGTTCATTTCGATTTGAACCGTTTTTTGAAATATAGGACTTTAACCAAGGCCTCTCTGGGTACTGACCCTCTCTTAAGAGTTTATTTATAGTGGTATTTTTACAAGTTGTCAACTAGAAAAAAAAAATACTAGAATGTAACTTTTCCTCAGTATACACAAAAGAAATTGGTTCCAGGACCACCTTCTCCTCAGAGACACCAGGATCTGTGGATGCTAAAATCCCTTATCCAAAGCTGTGTGCCATTTACATGTAACCCACATACATCTCTCATGCTTTCAGTTCCAAGCACCCACATCAGGCAGTTTACAATAGTCTGTAACTCCAGCTCCAGGTTCCAACATTCTGGCTTCTACATGTACGCATAGAGACCTACATATAATTAAAGGCTAAAGAAAATGTTGTGGTTTTTTTGTTTGTTTTTTGTTTGTTTGTTTTGTTTTTAAAGTTGTTGGGCTATTATACCTCATTCCCTTATTTGGCTTGGTGAAGACTGCTGTTTTTTTCTGTGTGGTTTGCTGTTTAGGCTGCTTTTGGAACTCACAAGGATCCATATGAAGAGTGGTCCTACAGTGACTTCTTCAGTGAGGATGGAATTGTTCTTGAGTCACAGGTGGTGCTGCCAGTCATCTATGAGTTGATTTCCTCAGTGGTACCTCTTGCAGGTAAATGTCACTTGTATCCTTATTTTCTGTATATTTTTGCTTTATGAACACTGGAGCTATAGATGCTTAGAACCAGAACTACATCCAATAAAATAAATTTATATGCTTAAGGACCCAAGCACAACGAAACACATGTTGCATATGATTTCATTTATGCAAGGAAAACAATGGGTTCACACTAAGCTATGTATTTGAAGTCAGGGTAGTGGTTACCCTGAGGGATGGTGGATAAGCCACTTTTCTGTTGCTGTGATAAAACACCATGACCAAAAGCAACTTAAGGAAGAAGGAGTTTATTTTGCCTTATGGTTAGAGAGAGTAAAGAGTCCAGCATGGCAGCAAATGGCAGCAAATGGCAACAAAAGGAAGCTAAGAACTCACATCACAGCAACCGTGAAGCACAGAGAACAGCCTGGAAATGGAGCTAAGCTTTAGACATTAACAGCCCCCCCTCCAGTGGCTGACTTCCTTCAGCAAAGTTGTACCTGCTCAAGCTCCCCAAAACAGTACCATCGACGGAGGGCCAAGTATTCACATACCTAAGTCTGGGGGACACTGCTCATTCAAACCACCAACCTGGGTCAGACTGTGGAGGGAATGAAGGGCTTCTGAGTATAAAGTTCTGGTTGTTTATCATGGTGCTGCCAAACTCAGTTGGGCTACTTATTAGATTATATGCTTATCTGGACATCCAAATGTGCAGTTTAAGGCTTCTTGTTAGTTTGGTTGATTGGTTTTAGTTTTTTGTGTTTGTTTTGAGAAAGGACATCACTATGTAGTCCAGACTTGCCTCAGACTTGTAGCCTTCCTGCTACCTAAGCTCTGGGATTTCAGGCATGTGTCATCATGCTCAGCTTTGAGTTTTGTAATTAATTTTGCTTCTTAAAGTGATTGCTGCTTTACAGCATTGAGTGATAATAACACAATTTCAATGATAGCTGAGGCTTGTTCTTTGAAAGAGTTATGTTATTTAGTCTTTAGTTCATTACTTTTTTTCTCTTTTCTAGAAAGTAAAAGATACCCTTTGGATTCCATAAGTTTGCCATACTGTTCCACTAGCAAAGGTATTTACAATTAGAAATGAATAATATTATATTATAATTTTACAAATACACAAATGCCAAGATAATTTAAAGCATAAATTCATATGTGCTGAAATTTTGAATATAAATTTGTCATAAAATGCTTGATTATGTAATTGTTTAATAATTTCAGTTACATTTTCAGAAGTCAGACAATCATGTGATTGTCTAATTGTATTAACTTTAATGATTACTCATAAATTTCAGTTTTCTGTATAGAGAAAATGTCTTTACCTGCCAATAATTTAAGTATCTAAACTTAAAAAAAAAAAAACAGATTTTATAACCAACTAGGACTTAGTTATTTTCTGATTTAAGTGTTAACTCTTGTTGACACTCGTGTGTTAACTCTTGAACAAGACTTTGGGAGTGAACTCTATGGCTGTCACCTCTTTGAGGAAGTAGGCCATCCCTAAGAGTAATTTCCCACAACAGTGATCATTATTAAAAAAAAACCAAAAAAACAAAAAACGAGATGGCTCTTATAGAGGACCTATATGGATGCTCTCAACTCCCTATAACTCCCTCTGACACCCTCTTCTGACCCCCAAAGGCTTCTGCACACCCATAGTGCACACACACATACTCTGGCACACACACACACACACACACACACACATTAAATAAATAAGTATTTGTATGAGTTTCTTATTGTTAAAAAAGACAACTATTGAAAATCTCTTCTCACTTTGCAGGAGACAACCTTATTCTCCCCATTGTACGTTCCATATCTACTCTGCTCTGGAACCTTCAAGAATCTAGTCAGTGGGAGATGGCCCTAAGGTTTGTGATCGGTTCCTTTGGTGCCTGCCTCCAACACTCTATGTCAAACATCATGAGTGCCAGTTTGAGTGAAAAGGTATGACTTTCATAATAAATTATGTGATTTTGGGTAGTTGGAGAGTCAAAAGCTCTGGGGAGCCAATTGCCTGTTGGCCCCATAGCAAAGACACTGATGATTATTTGTTAAATGCAAGATATGTTTATTGAGCATCTACCAAGATTCCAGGACATTTGCGCATATTTTTATTAATAGCCCTGAGAGTCTCCACTTTACAAATGCAGAAATTCAGAGCTGGTCATGTAAAAACTAGTTAGTTAAAATTTTAGGTAGGGCTGGTAATTCCTTATTCTAACCTCAGGACAGCGTTTGTCTGCTGGTGGGTTTTGGTTTTTTTGTTGTAGGCATTTATTGCTGTTATTGTTTGTTTGAGGACTTTTTTTTCACAGAGTATCTTGCAGCCCAGGCTGACCTTTAACTCACAGAGATTTACCTGCCTCTGTCTCCTGAGGGCAATTTTCAGAATGGTACATCTAACGATTCTCCTGTTCTTTTCTGAAAGTTACTTGGCGAGACCACAATGGCGAACTCAAAGCAAATCGTTGTAGAATTGAAAGAAAAGTCAGTCATGTTTATCAGGGGAAATGCCACAACACTCCTGCATAAAGTGAGTATTTGTGGTTGGCTTGTTTGTTCTAACCCAGTCATGTATCATTTGATAGTGTTCTACCATTCAGAAGCTTCAAGAGCCAGTGTGACCTCCAAACATTGTTGCTGTGTTATTTTGTAGTTTATGTTAATGATATTTTATTGAACATGGATGAAAGTGTAATGATTTCTGTCCATTTCTTCCCCTTGGTTTTGTTATTTTTAATGAACTAAAGGATATTAATAATCCTTACTTATGGTTTTGTTTTGTTTTTGTTTTTTCGAGACAGACTGGCCTCAAACTCACAGAGATCCTCCTGCCTCTGCCTCAAGACTAAAGGCGTGGGCCACCATGCCCAGCATATATAAGGCTCGTTAGCCTTAAATATCTAATGTTTATTTCCTTCAGGTAAAGATGTTCTCTTGTTTAGTAGCAGTGCAGGTTTCTCCATCACTAAATATTGCAGTGGTATAAAGATTTATGTTAATTTAATGCCCACATTCTAATTTAATTTAGGTAGGGCTGGTAATTCCTTATTCTAACCTCTTTTGTCAATAGTGTGTTTTGGTACAAGATCTAGATTAATTCATATATGTAATGATCCTGTAAACTAGCAGCTGTTAGCTTTTATAAATAAAGTTTTTCTAGAACATGGCCATGCTCCTTGTGTGTTATCTGTGCCTGCTGAGGCTGCTTTCCTGACACCAGAAACTCAGTAAGCTTTTGTTGCAGAGGTATGCCTGCAAGGCTGAAACGTTTACTACGCTGGAATTTTTTAAAAAGTTCCAAGTCTTGTGGCTGGAGAGATGGCTTAGCAGTTTAGAGCAGAGAGGTCCAGGGTTTGATTCCAAAGACCTAGATGGCAGCTCACAGAGTCTGTAACTCGAGTTCCAGGGAGCCCGATGCCCTCTTGTGGCCTCTGCAAGTGCTGCACACACATGGTGTATATGCATTCATGCAGACAAAACATCATACAGAAAATAATAAGTTTTTTTTAAATTGCTATGTCCTAGTGTTGCTTTTAGTAATCATCTTTTATCCAGCTTTAATCTGGGAGCCTACACTTCAAGATTCAGAATGGTACTGTGGAAATAGCACTGCATCTTTCTCTTTAGAGTTCTCCAGAACCTGGTGTTTATTTTGTTGTGCTGTTAAATAGAAGAGAGAATATTGAGTCACCAGAGGAAAGAGAGTAACAGTTGTAAGTTAGAGGACTCTGGCAAGAGCAAGCCCTTACATAGATGAGGGTGCTGTACATGGGATCCACTGACATGTGAAAGGGAGAGACATTTTGTTAGGTAGGTAGTGTTGACTGATGTCTGTAGGTGAAGCAGTGCAAACTCATGGAGTATACCTACATGAACTGAAATGGCTACAACAGCATCATGCCCCTATGGGACCACTGTTGTTCATGCAGTCTGTCAGGGACTACATGGCTCTGTTGAAGAGCTCACAGCTGTATTTGGGTTTAGAGGGTTGTGGATTGGCTGGTGGGAAGATGTGGTAGATCTCTTCTGGCTCCTTCTGATTTCTTGGCTTGCTAAAATGTGAGGTCAGTACTAAGGAGGCAAAAGAGGGTGGTGGGAAGTTTCAGAGACTGAAGTCAGCTGTATGGAGAAGGAAGGTGTCTGTGCCTGCAGAGGTTACTGGGACTGTTTTCCTTCTGTTTCTAGTCCTGGCAAAGGTGCCCTAAGCAAACCTCTTAGAGCTGTTTCTCTAAATACCTCCTGAAAGGCTTGTTCTTCCTGGAGGGCTTAAACCTCACCTGGGGGAAGTGACCTGAAGGTCCTTCCTGCTGCTTTGCTCATGATGCTTTCTCCTCCTCATAGGTGTTTAACTGCCGCCTGGTGGATCTGGACTTGGCCTTGGCTTACTGCACTCTCTTACCTCAAAAGGATGTATTTGAAAACCTCTGGAAGCTCATAGATAAAGCATGGCAGAATTACAACAAAATTCTGGTATGCCCTGAACATGGAAGCCTGCTCTTGTTGACGTGTTAAAGGTTTGGGGGACAAAGTGAAAGACTTTGCTAGCAGGTCTCAACTGTGTAGCAGAAATGATGATCTGTCTCATATGGTCTCTACCCACTTGTGCTTGACTGGTGACACACTGGTGATAAGCATTCCTTAAAGAATTAAGATAGCACTCCTTCCTTCCTTCTTCTTTTTTTGAGACAGGTTTTCTCTGTGTATCCCTGGTTGTCCTGGACCTTGATTTGTAGACCAGGCTGGCCTTGAACTTGGGAGATGTACCTCCTTTGCATCCCCTGAGTGCTGGGATTAAAGGAGTGCACCACCACTGCCTGCTAATAACTCTTATTCCTTAAAAAAACTAAAAACAACAAAAATAGCTATAGCTGGGTGTGATGATATATGCCTTTAATCCCAGCAACTGAAAGCAGAGACTGGTGGATTTCTAAGTTAGAGGCCAGCCTGGTTTACAGAGCAAGTTCCAGGAAAGCCAAGAATACACAAAGAAATCCTGTCTCAAAACAAAATATTTAAAACTATATATGTGGCCAATCATGGTGGTGCATACCTTTGATTTCAGTACTCTTGGAAAACAGAGGCACGCAGAGCTGGAAAATAAAAATACGGACTGGAGAGATGGCTGAGCAGTTTAGAGGACTGCCAGCTCTTCCAGTTTAGAGGACTGCCTGCTCATCCACCTGGATGCTTTTTTCCTAGTATCCTCGTGGCAGCTCACGACTGTAACTTCAGTCTCAGGGAGTATAAGTGCCTTGGGCACAGCATGTATGTGGCACTAGCATTTTTGCAGGCAAAACACTCCCACACATAAAATAGAAATAAATAAACCCGTATGTGGGCTGGGAAAATAGCTATTGGTGAAACTTGTTGCACAAGTAGAACACACAAACAAAAAGTGTGATGGTGGGCACTTGTAATCCCAGTGCTGGGGGAGGGGGAGAATTGGGTGGATCCATGGGCCTTGCTGGCTACCTAGCCTACTTGGCAAGTTCTAGTTTGGTGAGAGAACAGTCTCAAGAAAAAGGTGGGTGGTACTTGAAGAATGAAATCGGAGATTGTCCTCTGGCTGCCACGGGTTGTCTATGGCTCCACACACAAATCTCTGTGCAGCCTTCGAACTTCACCCCTTTCTCTGAAACCCTGGACCACAACGCAAGGCTTTTGTGTAGGATAGGTTTAGAGGCTATATAACTCATCTGGAGTTGTTCTGATTGATTGGTTTATTTTAGTTCTTTTTATTTGGGAAACTTGTGGGTAGCCCAGGTTGACCTAAAATTGTCCTTTTATTGTGAAGGAAAACTAGACTAAATTTACAGAATCATGCAAAAAGCTGAATTATCCAAATGCTATATAAAAAGTGCTGACTGAGGATGAAGTATGTAGTTCCGCTGGTGGGGTGCTGTCGCAGAAATTCTAATTGGTATTAATAATCAAAACTTGGAGTCAGATACTGGGGTTAAAGCTGAAGATCAGAGAAGCTAAGCAGCCAGCCACTAGAGAGTTCTCACCTCTACCAATGCTCACTACCAATGCTCACACCAAAAGGGCGATCCTGTCCTCAGACTGCGTCTGTCTCCACCAAACCTCAGACTGCTCTGAGCTCCTGTCTTCTCCTGCCTTATATTCATTTCTAGTGCTGGGATTAAAGGCATTGGATCCCAAGTGCTAAAATCACCTTTGTGTGAACTCTGTTTTTCTTTTAGACTGGATCACTTTCGTGTAGCTCAGGGTGGCCTTGAATTAACAGAGATCTGTCTGCCTCTGTCTCCTGAGTGCTGGGATTAAAGGTGTGTACCACACTGCCTGGCCCCTGACTGACTAATGTGGCTAGCTTTGCTCTCTGATCTTCAGGCAAGCTTCATTAGATCATAAACAAAATATCAGCACAGTGCTGGCCTAGCATGCAGGAGGTTTGGATTTGAATCCCCAGTATTGCATAACAAAGTGTGGGTGCATGCCTGTAATCCCTGCACTTGGGAGGCAGAGATAAGAAGATCCTCAGATACATAGTAAACTTGAGGCTAGTTTGGGCTACCTGAGACCCTAACATCTATGTATGGTATGTGTAGGGAGTTGCTGGAGAGAGGACTTAGCAGTTGAGAGCAGTTGCTGCCTTTGCAGAGGACCCAAGTTCAGTTCCCAACTCCAGTGCCAGGCAGCTCATGGCTGCCTTGATTCTAGCTCCAAGAGATTTGGCACCTTCTTCTGGCCTCTGCAGGCACCTACACACATGTGGTGTGCACTCACATGGACATATACACATATAAATCAAAACATGCTGGAGCGATGGCTCACAGGGCAAGAGAACATACTGCTCTTGCAGAGGACTGGAATTTGGTTCCCAGGACCCACATTGAGCAACTCACAAACCCCTGTAACTCTGTCTCCAGGAGAATCTGATGCCTGTGTCATCATTGAGCACCTGTACATAGGTGTTCTCTTACAGACAGAGAGGTATGTAATTTAAAATAATAAAAATCTTCTAAATCAATAAAATAAATCTTTAAAAAAGAAGTAGTGGCCATACAAACCATTATGTAGCAGTCTACACTCCAGTCACAAAAAGATTTATAGGGTTTCCACAATGTGGAAACTTAGGATGGAACCCAGGGCTTCCTTCACACATGCTGGGTCTTGCTTTAGCTCTGGGCCATGTCCTCAGCCCAAGGTTATGAGTTTTCTGTTCTCAAACAAGCCCTTGTGTGTAGCTTGGCTGCCCTGACACTCTCCAGCCCAGGCTGCCCTTAACCTCTCAGTAGTCCTCACCAGTGCTGGGATTACACAGGCACTGCTACACCTGGCTTTGATTCCCTCCCCGATTTCTGAGTTTCATCTAAAATGTATTAGAACTAATACTATTCGATCTTGTTTTAACATTTTAGGCATTATCTTTGGTGGGCTCTCAGCTGGCAAATCTCTATCAGGATATTGAAACAGGCCTTCGGTTCCATGAACTCAGTATTGATGCTCAGTGGGGTATTCGCCTTGGTAAACTTGGTGTGAGTATTCATAGTGCTTTGATATTTAATCTGTGTTGAGAATTATCTTTGAGATATCATTGTCTGAGACAAAGATCTTTCCAATAGTTACTTTGGGGTATATAAAGAAGTAAGGGTGTTTGTGTTACTTCTTTTTTGATATTTATTTTAATAATGTTGGAAAGAGCCTGACACTTTTCACCTGCTTAACTTTCTCATGTGGAGGTGTATGTCTAGTACCAACTGACATTTATACTCCTTCAGACTTAACAAGTAGCCTCATACCATCTGTTGTTTAATTACTAGTTTTTGTAACTAATTTTTTACAAACTAGTTTTTTTTTGTTGTTGTTGTTTGAGATAGGATTTGGCTATGTTGCTCAAGTCTTTTTAAAAATTTTATTTATTTATTATGTATACAACATTCTGCTTCCATGTATATCTGCACACCAGAAGAGGGCACCAGATCTCATAACAGATGGTTGTGAGCCACCATGTGATTCCTGGGAATTGAACTCAGGACCTCTGGAAGGCTGCTCAAGTCTTGGACTTAGTTTAAACAGATCCTTCTGTCCAGCCTCCTGAGTAGCAGAAATTACAAATGCATGCTACTGTGCCTTCTGGGCTAAAAATAGTATTAAGCAGTAGCAGTACTTGGGAAGCTGAGGCAGGAGGATGGTGAGTTTGAGGCCAGGCTGGGTTACAAAATGAGACATAAAACCTTTTTTTTTTTTTTTTTTTTTGTTTTTCGAGTTTCTCTGTGGCTTTGGGGCCTATCCTGGAACTAGCTCTTGTAGTCCAGGCTGGTCTCGAACTCACAGAGATCCACCTGCCTCTGCCTCCTGAGTGCTGGAATTAAAGGCATGCGCCACCAACGCCCGGCTGAGACATAAAACCTTTTATTTGCAAATAGATTGTTTATGAGGAAAGTGATCATTGCCAAAAAGCTGTGTGTTTTGAAACTTGATTCCTATGAAGTGGTGGGGCCGATTCCGCCAACAATAACAACTAGGCTTCCCTGAGGAAGCGGCAAGAGGTTATGGTGGCAAAGATTCCTCAGTGATAGTTGGGATGAACAGATAAAAATACAATTTAGAGCCAGCCAGATGGCTCAATGGGAAAAGACACTTTTCACCAAACCTGAAGTTTTATCCCTAAAACCTGCATTGTAAGAGAGAACTGACTCCTACAAGTTATCCTCTGACCTCCAAATGCTGGCAGCAGCAGGCACACAGACAGGCATGCACACACATACAATAAATAGGAAAATAAATTTAAAAATAGAAATAGAAATTTTTTTATAGAATATTCTATAAATATTTCTATTTGTAGAAAATGTTTCTTTATGAAAAGAATAGTAAAGTAAAAAGGTGTGTTGTAATGTTGCCCTATTTCTGATACTGAATCAGTTTAGAAGTTCGGAGGTTTTTTTTTTTTTTCCTTTTTTTTTTTATTCTGTGTTCTTTGTTTCTAGATTTCTTTTCAGCCTGCTTTCAGACAAAGTTTCCTCACCAAGAAAGACCTCCTTAAAGCTCTTGTTAATAACATAGATATGGACACAAGTCTCATTCTGGAATATTGCAGGTAAGCTTTAAATGTTAATGGCATCTTTGCTGTTGGTTTGGCCAGCTTGTAACCCTTGCTCTGAGAAGACAATAGTCAAGGAGGTATTCATGCAGCCTGGAGACCTCTGTTTTCTTTTGCTGTGGCCAGCCTGATCAGACACAAAGCCAGATTCGGTTCTCTGGGTGAGTATCTAAGCCTGTGACTGAAAATACAGATAGATAAGTAGATTCAGAGGTTTTTATTGTTGTTTATTTTGATCTAGGATCTCATGTAACCCACAATAGCTTCAAATTTGCTATGTAGCTGAGACTATGTATCAGGAGGTCTTGAACTCCTGATCATCTTCACCTCCACGTGTTAGGATCATAGGCGCATATCATTATGTTGGCTCAGATCTGAGTCTCTTTGCTTTTGTTTCGGTGCTTGGGATCAAATCCATCTCCTCAAGCACATAGGCTGCACTGCATCCTGATCCCTAGTGCCTAAATTACTGACGACAGCTGGTTGGAAAACTCTTTCAGCAGCCAAACATCTAGTCGATCCCTCCTCCCCTTGGGGACAAGAGTCATGACCCTGGCTCTCTCCATGCTGAGGCTGCAGTCAAGATCTAGAAGCTGCCCAGAGCTCTGAGTAGCACTGACTCAATGGCAGTATTAAGTTTTTTTCAGTCATTCAGCAGAGGCCTTGGTCATTTGTATTGATAGTGATACTTTGCGTGAGGTAATCCATGTGAACTAAGTCAGATGGCTTTTAAAGTTTTTCGTTTGGTTTTTGTTGTTGTGGCCCAGGCCAACTTGCAACTCCCTATGTCACTCAAGCTGGCCTGCAGGTTGTGGTCCTGCTGATTCAGCCTCCTAAACACAGGGATTATAGATGTGAACCACCCCAGCACCAACTAGACTGCCCATGCCCAGCTAGACTGGCTTTTAGAATACCAGGGGACTTGACTGTGATGGTTCTTAAAGCATTGCTTCATATCTCAGTTACCACGCATGGTTGACTGAAAGGTCACTGTCTCATTCTAAGGGCCTAAGGAGGTGTTTCAGTTGTTACTTGTCTATACTGACCAAGACTTTTTTTTTTTTTAATTATATAACTTATTACTTATTTTTGTGTGAAATAAGGTCTCGTGTAGTTTTATGTGGCTAAGGATGACCTTGAACTCTTGATCCTGTTGACTACCTCCCAGAGGCTGGCATTCCCAACATGTTCTACCTAGCCCAGCTAGACTGTCTGGTTTGAAGACAATAATTAAACCAGACATTGTGGTATAGGCCCCACTATTGTCTGAGGCAGGAGAATTACTTAAAGCTTGATTCTAGCCCAGCTGCTTATCAACACTCCTTTAAAAAAAGAAAGGGCAGCATTTAGCTTTGGTGATGCACACTTTTTCTGATTATGAGGCTAGACAAGAGCGAGGTTAAAGGCCTGAGTGATTGGAACGTGCACTGAGTTTTCTGTCAGAACCCTTGCTTAGAATGCACACCTTGTAACTGCCCTCTCCTTTCAGCACCTTTCAGCTGGACTCTGATGCAGCCCTGCAGCTGTTCATCGAAACCCTGCTCCACAACACCAACAACCAGAGCCAGGGAGATGCAAGCCTGGAGCCCACCAAGCAGCAGCATTCCAGACTCCTGGCCAAAGCCACTGAGATGGTTCCTTTACTGGCGAGCACAAAAGATTTGGTGGTCAGTCTTACTGGGATCCTTTATAAGGTAGGTGAGTGAGGAAGTGGATGTCTCTGGTCACCACTCTCCTCAACCTTAATTAATTAGCTACACATACTAACAACTGGATTTATTAAGTCCTGAAGTTTTCGGGTTTTGTTTTGTTTTAAGATAGGGTCCCACATAGCCCAGGCTATGCTCAAGCGCAGTATATATCTAAGGATGGTCTTAATTTCCTGATCCTTCTGGGTCTACCTCTCAAGTGCTGGGATTATAGGTGTGTGCCACCACACACTGCTAAAATCTGTGTGTACATGTCTGTCTGTCTGTTGGGGGGGTACTGGTGCCCCCGAGGCCATAGGTTTACCATGAGCAGGAGTTACTACCAGTAACTGGCATAAGCTGCTTGGCATGGGTGCTGGGAAACCTTGGATCCTCTGCAAGAGCACAAAGTGGCTTCTAACCACCGAACCGTCTCTCTAGCATTAAGTTCTTTATTTTCACACAGCAATCTATTAATACAGTATTTCCTGCCTATCTTACCTTCTCTTCTCCCCTCAAAATAAAGCAGCATTTTCCACCAGAGTTGTTTGTTTGTTTTCCCTCGATATATGGCTTTTTGAGATGGTCTCAAGTAGTTCAAGCTGTTCTGGAACATGCTGTGTAGCCAAGGGTGACTCTGAACTCCTTCCTTTGTCAAAGAATCAAATGAGAAAGAAAGTATAAATTCCAAAGGGAAATTTCCCTGTGTGTACTGCTGTCTGGAATGGGATAAATGTTAATAGTGTAGTACTATTCCACAGTGAGTATCTGGCCCTTTACCTGTCCTGTCTAATACCCCACTGCTTGGGGGAAGCCCTGCATTGGACCAGCCTTTCATGAATAGAAGTTTAAACCATACATTTCAGTATTATAAACAGTTTCATTGAATGAATATGCATTTTCCTATTGTGTTTTTTTTAAATGAACTTTTCTGCAAATTGGTATTTTTAAGAGGTAGTTTGATTGGGGGCTTGGAAAGGAGGTAGCAGAAGAAATGAGGTTATCAGACTGCAATATGAATTTCAGTTTTATATTTTGCCTGTAAGTCAGGCAGAAATTATAGACTTGTTCCTAGGTATGATGGACCATCTTCCCACTTTGATAATTATGTATTTTAGTTGGCATTTAAAACATAGAAAATGCTGTGTGGGCAGAAAGGAGCCTGTACAGATACCATCCAGTTAGTTCTTGTTTTAGGAAGATGGTTAAGGCTAAGATTCCTTCGAGAGCCTCAGACATGAAGGCCCACGTTGTAGATAAGTCATTTCTGAGGTAGCCTTCTTCCTATTCTAATTTCCATCATAAATAGAACAAATGGAACTTCAGTTTCAAAGTCTTAATAAAACTGAAAATTTGAACATATGATACCTTAGAGGCATCTGTCTTCACTAAAACAGTATTGCCTTGTACAGCTTTTTAAAACTACATTTCAAGACATTTCAAACGTGGATGTTTAGCCTAGTAGGGTAGTTTTAGAACTGAGTTACTGTGAAGGGCAGCCTGGGCTTCAGTGCATGCTGAGCTTATTATGTTTGCTATGTGTGTGATAAACATTACTCAATAAAGCACGTGTGAGTGTGACAGTGTCTTCTCAGGTTCTGAAATATGTTTGCTTTTTGCACAGCTGGACCCATATGATTATGAAATGATTGAAGTTGTACTGAAAGTTATAGAACAAGCCAACGAAAAGATAACCAGTGTGAACATTAATCAGGTACAGAAGTGTGTTAAAGATTGGAAACTCATATCTGTGCTTTGGTTTATTATGATGAATATATTATAATTATTATAATATTAAGAATATGATCCAGGTTCTTTCTTTGATCTTCCTTTAGATTCTGAACTTAATTCTAAATAGTCTTTCTTTCTTTTTTTTTCTTTTGTTTTTTTTTTTTTTTTTTTTTTTTTTTTTTTTTTGCAGTATTTTTAATTCTTTAAAATTTCAGCCAGGTAGTGGTAGCGCACACCTTTAATCCCAGCACTCGGGAGGCAGAGGCTGGCAGATCTCTGTGAGTTTGAGACTGACCTGATTTACAGAGTGAGTTCCAGGAAAGCTAGAGCTGTTACACAGAGAAACACTGTCTCGAATACCAAAAACAGGAGAGAGAGAAAAAAGAAAAAAGAAAAAATATTTCATAAATGAATTCAGAGTATTTTGATCATATTTTCCCCTCATCTACTCCCCCAACTTATCCCTGACACACACCCCTAGTTTTCTTTATTTATTATTATTTTTATTATTGCTATTTGCTTTTTCCTTTCTTTTTTTAAACATTATTAAATTTGTGTGTGTGTGTGTATGTGTGTGTGTGTGTGTGTGTGTGTGTGTGTGCAGTGATATCTGTGTGTGACTGTGAACAGGGGTGCCAGTACATGCATACCATGTGGGAGTTAAAGGTGATGACTCCACTTTCCTTCCATCTTTACATGGGTTTGGGGGATTAAACTCACTCAGGCTGTTGGACTTGTACAGCAAGCACAGCTGAGACATCTTACCCGCCCATGGTTTTGGTTTTTTTGAAACAGGGTCCCATATAGCTCAAGCTATTCTTTCTTTTCCTTTGCTTGTTTTTTCTTTTCTTTCTTTTTTTGTTTTTTGTTTTTTGTTTTTCGAGACAGGGTTTCTTTGTGTATCTTTGGAGCCTATCCTGGCACTCGCTCTGGAGACCAGGCTGGCCTCGAACTCACAGAGCTCAGCCTGCCTCTGCCTCCCGAGTGCTGGGATTAAAGGCGTGTGCCACCAATGCCAGGCTTGTTTTTTCTTGTCTTTTCTTTTTTCTTTCTTTCTTTCTATTTTCTTTTCTTTTTTTTGAGACAAGTTTCTCTGTGTAGCCCTCACTATCCTGGAACTGGCTCTGTAGACCAGGTGGTCTTGAACTTGGTGATCTGTCTGCCTCTGCCGCCACAGTGCTGGGATCAAAGGTGTACACCACTACCTTTCCATGCTTGCTATTTATAAACTCATTCTGTAGCCAAGTTTGACCTTGAATTTCTTGGTCTTGCATCTCTACCTCCCAGTACTGGGATTATAGACATTTGCTACCACCCCTGGCTGGTCTCTGGGTGAAGATTTTAGATTAGCTTAGGAAACATAATGAGATCCCACCTCAAACATAAGTTGAGTAATTGTAAATGAAAACTTTCAGCATTAGTGTTTTAGACTTCTGTCCCAAACTATTTGAAGAATTTTTCTGGAACTGCCCAAGTCTTATTCTGTGAGCCAGATGGTACCCTCAGTTCCTCTGAATGTGATGTCTCTAGTTTATACAGCATGCTTTAGGAGACATTGATATGGAAAAAACTAGATTGGTGTGTATATGTGTGCGCGCGCGTGCGTGTGTGCGCGCGTGTGTATTCAGGCACATATATGTGCTACCACATGCATATGGACGTCAAGTTGGCAGGCATGGTGGCAAATGCCACTGACCCTAGAAAAGCCTTCAAGGAATAGGAAGTGCACGTGGTGCTTATGTTCCAGGACAGGGAGACCCTTACAGGTCTCTTGCTCATTTCCATACAGGCTCTGAATCTTCTGAGACACTTGAAGTCATACAAAAGAATCTCCCCCCCAGTGGACCTCGAATACCAGTACATGCTGGAACATGTAATAACTCTGCCACCGGCTGCCCAGACTAGACTGCCTTTTCACCTAATATTATTTGGCACAGCACAGAACTTCTGGAAAATTCTCTGTATGTTCATTAACTTCTTAGGAATTTTACTAAATAGCCAACTGATTTTTTTTTTTCACATGTCATGTCCTTCTACTTGTTTCTAGCCTCAGAGCTCAGTGAAGAGTCGCTTCCAACCCTGCTCTTAATTTCTAAGCTAATGAAGGTAATGGGTAGAGCCTCCTAAAGAGCTTCTTTTTTTAATTTTTTTCCTTTTTTATTTAAATTCTTTAATTACTACTCATATTTACAAATCCCCCAATTCCCTTTCCCTCCCACCCTCCCATGTTCCCCAACCACCCCCCAGACCCCTCTACCTCCTCCCCAGGGATACTGAGGCCCTCCACAGGGGACCTTCAAAGTCCATCATATCATTTGTGGGAGGGCCTAGGCCCTCCTTGCTGTATCTGGGCTGCAATAGTATCCCTCCATAGGGAATGGGCTCCCAAAGTCCATTTGTGCTCTACGGATAAAGACTGGCTCCACTGTTAGAGGTCCCATAGACTATCTTGGCCTCCTAGCTGGCACCCACATTCAGAGGGCTTGGTTAAGAGAGCTATTTCCCAAGCATTATGACTAGAGTCTCCGTGCTCTCAGGAGGTCAGGTCAACTGTTTCTGCGGGTTTCTCCAGCACCGTCTAAGGAGCTTCTTATCTACGTTCCCTGAGCCTGGCCTGGAGACCTTACACTACTTCCTCTCCTCTTTCTGAAGTTCTCCCTAGATACTCTCTACGTGTCTACAGCCAAACATGTTTTTGAAAAAAACCTGAAGCCAAAGCTCTTGAAGTTAGCACAAGCCCAGTCAGCCCTGATGAGCAAGGAAGTGGATAAGCTCACACAGACCATCGAGTCATACCTCCTGTCCATAGTCAACCCGGAGTGGGCCGTCGCCATCGCCATCAGTCTTACCCAGGAAATCCCAGAAGGTGCACAGCACTCTGCTCCTAGGACTTGCAATGCTTGCTAATAGTTTGGGTTTCAGTTTTGTCCCTTTTTTGTAGTGCCAGGGATCTATTCAGGGTCTTGTACATGCTAGGCAAGTGTTCTGCCCTGTTTCTATTTTCCAATCTTTATCAGCTAGGAGCTGCCTGGAAACTCCTGGTGTTTGAAAAGTTTATCAAGTCTTATCCTATAAGCAACAACATAACTCAGGCCCATTCATAACTTGTTTGAAAAGATATTCGAAAAGGCAGTGTGGATGGTATTATTCTGTCTGCCACATACATAGAAAACTTAGAAACAAGGAATAGACCGGAAGCTGAGGAAGGATCTCTGTGGTGTTTGATTTTTCTATTTTGTATCCTGCTATCCCATTTCCCTCATCTTTTATTTTTACGGGGTGTTCATTTATAATTTTAAAATTTTTGCTGCTTTGGTAACATGTTGTCTCAGACTATTTAGATTTGCTCACAAACCTTTTTTCTTCCAGGCCCCTTCAAGATGACTAGTTTGAAATTCTGCCTGTATTTGGCTGAAAGATGGCTGCAAAACATCCCATCTCAGGTGAACTGTGGTTACTTAGCAATTATTTCATCCCAGGGCCCAGAAAGGAGAAGAAAGCCCACAGTTGTGTATGATGGGTGGTTAAGGCTACTGATAAAGCAGGGAGGGCTTTGATCACTAAAGATGGAGTGTCATCCTCCCTTGAGATTTTTATGTAAGCCTTTCTCTCCATTTGGAATTTTTTTAAAGGATGAGACACGTGAAAAAGCCCAGGCCTTGCTGAAGAAGCTTTATCTCCAGTTCCGGCGCTCAGGCACCGAAGCAGTGCTCATAGCCCACAAGTTGAATGTTCCAGAATATTTAAGAGTGGTAGGAAAGCCAGCACATCTCATTGTGAGCCTCTATGAACATCCCAGCATAAGCGGAAGACTTCGTAATACATCTGGCAAAGATTATCCTGGTGGGAACAAAACTTCCTTTTTTGGTCCAGGAAGAGCTGCTGTTTTAACTCCCAGTTGTCGAATGCTGGAATCCTGAGTTTTCACTTTTGTACTTTTTTTTTTTTTCTTGATTATCTTAGATATTCACGAAGCAGCTAAAGAAATAGCTGAAGTCAATGAAATTAATTTGGAAAAAATTTGGGACATGTTGTTGGAGAAATGGTTGTGCCCCTCAACAGTACCCAGTGAGGTGAGTGAATGTTATATGTAAGAGGCCTGGCTTTTTTGTTTTTGATTGATGAGATTAACTTTCTGGTTTTAAAATAATTTAAAATGGAATAGGAAAGTTTAAGAACAGTGCAGAAATATTCCTATACCACTGTTTACCCAGATTCATTAGTTTTTCACATGTCTCTGTGTTTACTTCATCTTCTACTTCTCTCTATTGTACTCCTTTTGTATTCATTTCTTCCTATTGGGGAGTATATTGCATATGCCATGTCCCTTGGCTCCTTAATAATTAAGTGCCTGTTCCTTAAGAACAAGCATTTAACTTACCCCTACAGTTTTAACTTAAAAAAAAAAAAAAAATCACAGCACTTGGGAGGTAAAGGCGGAAAGATCATTGCAAGTATAAGGCCAGCCTTGTCTACACAGCAAAGTTAGACCAACCGGGCTACCTACTAAAGACCCTGTTTCAAAAGGAAAACTTAGAGGATTAAATATTCAGACAAGTCTATAGCCCATCTTACAGTTAATCAATAATGTTCAATATCCAGTTCCACAGTCTCTGCACTTGTCCTCTCTGTAGTCTGGCTTAATCTCAAACTTCCCACAACTCCCTGGTCTCTTATGACATTGACAGGTTTTGTTTGCTTTTTAAATATTTTTATTGTATGTACTGATGTATGGAGGCAGTGCTCCGGGAGGTCAGAGGAAAACCTGTGTGAGTCTGCTCACTCCTTCTACCATGCGGGTTCTTGGGACTAAATTTGGGTCATCAGGCTTGGTGGCAGCTGCCTTTATCTGCTGAGCCATTTGCCAGCTGTTGACTGGTTGTCTTTTAAACTGTCCTTCCACTTTGGTTTACCTAATATTTTTTCTTACGATAGAGTTCAAATTTTAGCTAGGTTTGTGGTGCCTGCCATTAACCTCAGCACTCGGGAGGCAGACGCAGGCTTATTCTGTGTAGTTAGAGACCAGCCTGCTCTGCATAGCAAGTTCCACGCCAACCAGGGCTACATAGCAAGAACTTGCCTCAGAATAAATAATCATCGAAATCGAATTTTTTGTTTGGGTGTCGTGCTACATAAATGATGTTGGAATATGATATTTGGAAGAACATATCTGTTTGGCCCTTATAGATAGTATTAATTTACTAGTGTGTGTGGGGGGGTTATCTACGCGCACATGTGCTATAGCACACATGGAGGTCAGGGGACGACTCTGGGGTCATTTCTGCCCTCTCTAAGGTTGTATTAATTTAGATGCACGTTGTGGCTAAGTTGTTTCTCTAGTACATTCTGTTCTTCGCTTTGTAGTTAGTTATTAGAGGAAATATTCTGAGATAATACAGCATAAAATTCTCTACAAATTCTTCCCCTTACTTCATCTACCCACCCCCACTGTTAGCCTAGCAACCATTGGTGACTTTTTAACATGTTTAAAAGGGTGACACATTAACAGTTTTGAAGGGTATAAGTCAATTGCTTTATAAATGCCATTATTGCTTTGCCTACGTTTTTTCTGTGATTTAATGTAGGTTATGCACTTTAGTCATACTGTATCGGTGATGTATTCTTTTCAGTGGAACACAGTAGGCGGCCCATGATGCTGGGGTTTTTTTTAGAAATAGTGTAATTAGCATCTAAAATTTGTGGAAGGATTTAACAATCTCAATCCAGATTTTTCAATAGTTTCTCTGAATTTTCAGGTAGAACTTAATAGATTCTATAATTCCTGTGCTTACATAGGAAAATAATATTCTTGAAATGTATTTATTAAAAATGGTATAACTAATATGAAATTAAGTATTATATTTAGTGGATTTGTTCAAGCTGGGGTGCTAATATGTTGCCCAAACAAGTTCCAGGTCAAAGCAGTTCTGCCACAGCCTCCCAAGTAGCTGAGACTAACTGTATCTGGGCAGTGTCTATCTGTTTTCATCTTACTGAGATGATTGACTGACTTTTGTGCTGGGTACTGAACCCTACTGTATGCTAAGCCTGTGCTCTACCACTGAGATATATCCCAGCCCTTGGCTTTTATTTTAATTTATTTTTAATTACATCCAAATTGCTCGAGGGAATCGGCTCTCTCCTTCTATCATGTGGGTCCTGGGGATTGGACTCAGATCTTCAGGCTTGGCAACAAGCTACCTATGAGTCACCTCAGTGGCCCTGTCTCCCCCCCACCCCCCAAGACAGGGTTTCTCTGTGGCTTTGGAGCCTTTCCTGGAACTAGCTCTTGTAGACCAGGCTGGTCTCTAACTCACAGAGTGCCTCTGCCTCCTGAGTCCCTGTTGGCTTTTAATTAGTTGCTTTTATATAATTTTCATTCTATTCCACAGTGTGCTGCTACTGTTTTAGCATTAGGTCTTGAACTCTAGCTCATCATGTAGCTGAGGATGACCTAGAACTTATGTATCTCCCAAGTGCTGGGTCTGTGCTGTGCTGGGGATTGAACCCAGTGCTCCATTGCTACTGTGCAAGCACTGCATGTCTGGAGTTCAGCACTAGCCTCATTCTACCAAGAACAGGGACTGCTTCAGTGGGAATATAATGTAAGCTTGTGTCTATAACCAGCATTTCTGTGTTCCAAGCTCCACATTAGCTCAGATAGTCAACTGAAAGGTTCTGGCAACTAAGAACCAAACCTGGCACAGTGCTTTGGGAGTCCTGATGAATACATGTTAAATTGGTGAGTGATTCATTTAAATTCTGTGGAGTAGCTCAGTGACAGAGCACTGGCTGGCATGTCTGACTGAGGCCCTGGGCATTGGGGAGGCTGAGGCATGGGATGAGCCAGCCTAAGCTACATAGTGAGACTCTTGTTTCAAAAACAAAACAAAAGAAACACGGAACCCTTTTTTTTTTTTTTTTTCTTTTATATATAGCTGTTGGGCCTGAAACTTGAACTTGGTATATACACCAGTCTTTCCTTTAACTCACAGAGATTCATCTATCTCTGTTCCTCAGTGTTAGGATTAAAGGTGTACTTTACCATACCTGGTTCAGTTCCTTTAAAAAAAAAAAAAAAAAATTAGGGGCTGGAGAGAGCACTGGCTGTTCTTCCAGAGGTCCTGAGTTCAATTCCCAGGAACCACATGGTGGCTCACAACCATCCGTTATGAGATCTGGTGCCCTCTTCTGGTGTGCAGATATACATGGAAGCAGAATGTTGTATACATAATAAATAAATAAAATCTTTAAAAAAAATTTTTTAAAAATTGATTTATTTTGAGTACAGTGTGCTGTCTGCATGTTATGTCTGCAGGCCAGAAGAGGGCACCAAATTTCATTGTAGATGGTTGTGAGCCACCATGTGGTGCTGGGGATTGAACTTAGAACCTCTGAAAAAGCAGCAGTGCTCTTAACCTCTCCAGCCCCTTCTTTTAAAATTTATCCAACAAATGTCACCTCTACAAGGACCCAAATGTTTGTTTACTTAAGGCCATGTGTGTGCTCTGAATCCTAAATTGGACTTTCACCTAAGAAGTGCTCAGAGTATATTTATTGTGTGAATGAATGAGTGTGGAGCCTTCATTTAAGCAAAAGCCATCATTAAACAATTAATCACAGTGTGTCCGCCACATAACATCCTTTTGTTTTTAAATCTTCTATTATTTTATGTGTATGAGGGTTTTGCTTGCATGCATGTTCATGCACCACATGCATGCCTGATGCCTGCTAAGGTCAGAAATGGGCATCAGGTCCCTGGAACTGGAGTTACTGACACCCTGTGGGTGCTGGGAACCAAACCTGGGCCCTCTGCAAGAGCAACAAGGGCTCTTTCTCTTAATGCTCCAGCCTTATAAACATAGTTTTGTAATTTTGGGTTTTTGTCAGGTATATTGCTCTAAGATGGAAGTTTGTTATCTACAACCTGCAGTTTTTAACTTTTATTCATCTCTGTTTTCAAAGAAAGCATCAGAGTTCTTTGAACTTGAAGAGGATGAAGTGCTGCATAGGTATGCTTCCCTTCTTTGTGGCCTACTCCTTGATACCCAGTGGGGATCTTATTAGGAAACAGATTTAGAAGTTAGAGTTGAAGAGACTTCTTGATATAATCTGGGTCAGTCTCAGAGAAGAATCATTCATTGCTATGGCAGAGTCTCCACAGGCTGAGGAGGGAGTCAATAGCCAAGACTGAGGATGTGAGCCCCTGTGAATGTTCTAGGACTTCTGCAACAGAGAGTGTCCCAGGCAAAGGAAAACACTTCTTCCAGCTAGAGCCTTGGCCCCAGGGCCCTGTGTATACTTGCCTTCTAAGAAATGGTGTGGCTCAGATACAAGCCCCAGATTCCTTTGTCTGAGACCAAGATCTAAGGAGTTGTGTGCTTGTTGTCAAATGTGCTCATTGCTTGTTCTATTGAGGAGACTATATGTAGGCTCGAATCAGAAGGAATGAGGTAGCTTGACCCCAGCATAGGAAGAGGGTGTGGGCAATAAGCTGCCAGATCTGCCATTCTTGCCCTAGGCCAGAAGCAGCTGAGAGGCCTGTGAGACCGACCCAATGGCTGCCTCCTCTCCGAAAATCAAATAATGATGACAGACTTGCAAAGCCCAGAACAAGAAGTTAATTGCTCCTAGTTTTGAGTAGAGTTGGCCACCTACCAGCTTTCTGCCTCCTTTCTTCTGAACCCACCTCTGTGCTTGTTTGGAAGGGGGAGTTGTTACCTTTACTTGTTTTTTTTTTATTTGGGGTGTAACAGTTTGGGTAGTTACACAGATCTTAAACTTGGAATCCTCCTGCCTCAGCCTCCCAAGTGCTGAGATGATAGGTGTGTGGTATTGGGCCTAGCAGGCTCTTGCATAGCAGCCCACCCCCCACCCCTGACATGGCTCTGGCTGTCCTGGAACTCACTCTGTAGATCAGGTTTACTTCAAACCAGAGATCCACCTGCCTCTGCTTCTGTCACCTGAGTGCCGGAGTTAAAGGCATGTATCACACCTGGCTTCTTGCTTAGTCTTTTAAGGGTAAGTGTACCTTTGTCCAACTCAGATATAGTTCCTGGCCTGTCTAATGAAACAATTATGTGGAAAGCCTGAGAAGCAATTCAAACAGTAACTGAAGGAATCCCCAAAGCACACCTGCGAGACCAGAACTTCTGTCTTTTCCACCTGAGAGCTCCCTCTCCTCCAGTTTATCTAATCCCTCTGGACCTTCCTAGGAGTGGCCTGACAGCCCTGGAGCTAGAGTCGGAATTATTTCATTTACAGGATCCTCCTGGGTACTGGGAAAACAATTTCCTGTGTGTGACACTCACTGCCCAACACTGGTTTGTGTCATTTTCATCCCTAATACCGGAGGGCTGGCTGGCTGTGTTGCAGAGAACTCTGAAGCCAGTATTTGTTCCATACATTGTCGTCTTTTGCTGTGAAGAAACTCAAGAAAAAGCTAAACATCCATACTAGAGACATGACTCATTGATTAAGAGCACTTTCTTCCCAGCACCCACATGACAGCTCACAACTGTCTGTTCCAGGGGATATGATTCCCTCTTCTGGCGTCTACACATACACACAGTCCACAGACACACATGCAGGCGCGCGCGCGCGCACACACACACACACACACACACACACACACACACACACACACACACACACACACTAAACTTTTTGTAAACACCTTTGAAATGGGGAACAAAGATGCCATTGGCCGATGTCCTTCGAGCTGATATCTAGGATGTTTCCATTTACTGTGGACAGAAGCACAGCTCTGTCATATTGGCAGTCTATCTTTAAGTTTTAAAATATCTTTTTTTTCCTCTAGAGTCGTGTATCTCCTACAGTCTCGTCCGATCGATTATAGTTCAAGAATGCTGTTTGTATTTGCCATCTCAGCCACAAGTGTAAGCTCTACAAATTTAATCGAAACATGTGGGCATCTCAGCTTGACATTTTCTCCCTGTGTGTCTTTTCACACTTGGTTCATAAACACAATCGAAATAATCCTTACCAGACTATGCTGTTTGATAGGCAGGAATCACTGTGTACACCACACTGCATTTAGTACCTCGGATTTAGCGTCTGCGTTGCAGGCCACATGATACACCTGTTGGTAGCTCCCAAAGGTGCACTTTTTTCATGGTTACTAACTCCCTGATCAGTCATCATTTCTAATACCAGGGGACTGTACAACCTGGTCCTGGGAAGAAGCTCCACTTGTCTCCATGCCCCTGTGTGACCTGCTCTGGGTCTAATCCCACACTAGCTTCTCCCTATGCTAAATTTTAATCTCCCTGAGGGGACAAACAAACTCTTTAGTCTTCATGATTTTTGATATAACAGTTTTGTTGGTAGTTTGGTATTGGGCAGGGCAGAAGGTGTTCATTTTTATTTTTGTTTTTGAGACACAGTCTGACTTAGACTGTGTAGCCTAGACTGATCTCAAATTCCAGGCAAGCCCCCTGCCTCAGTCTCCTTAGTGTTGAAATAGCAAATATGAGCAACTGCACCCAGTTAACCCTGGGTGGCAGCTAGAGTCAGCAGAGGAAGGCTGAGGAACACAGGGCACATGGTCCCTAGACGGGCAAGAAGAAGACCTGAGATACTGGATGTCAGTGTATGGCCGTTCTTACAAGGGACTCTGTCCTTCAGTCATTGTTTAAGTACAGCTGCTTAAAGTACACTTCTCAGCAGGGAAGTGCTTTCTTCCTGATGCACTGTCAGTAAGCAAACTGTCCATTTTGCCAAGAAGAATACGAATAAGTGCATTGTCGTTAACGTTAACATGTGTTCAGAGGTGAATTAATTGGCATGCTATATACAAGAGTTGAGGGATTTAGAAAATTAATTTTTATTGCTTCATCCAAAACATTTCAAGAGCCAGGCAGTGGTGGCGCACACCTTTAATCCCAGCACTTGGGAGGCAGAGGCAGGGGGATCTCTGTGAGTTCTCGGCCAACCTGCTCTACAGAGCGAGTTCCAGGACAGCCAAGGTTACATAGAGAAACCCTCTCTCTAAAAAGAAAAAAAAATCATTTCAAGGGACCTCTTTGGTTTCCAATGCCGTGGCTGCCAGCAGCTGGGGGTCACTGCCTTGATTCTGCCTGCAGTGTTACCCACTACTCCTTTAGTATCAGCAGTACAAATATCAGCATCTTGTAAAAGCAAAAAAAAAAAAAAACCAAGGAACCTGCTTAATATTTTGGCCCTTTGCCTTCTAAAAGAGTCTCAGGAGTTCCCTCCAGGGGTCATGTGGAACTACCCTGTTCTCTGCACTACACTGGTTAAGGGTAGAGATAACAGTTCCAGAAAAATGGAAAACAATCCAAGGGAAGGGAGATTTTCATTACCTAAGTTGAAGTCATTTGTCTGACCTCAGCTGCAGCTGTGTAGCTTGGCTCTCCAAACCTCTTGGTTTTACAGACACTGGGCATGCGCCAGCTAACCTTTGCCCACAAAACACGAGCTCTTCAGTGTCTCTTCTATTTGGCTGACAAGGAAATGATAGAATCTCTCTTCAAAAAGCCCACTGAAGAAATTAAGTAAGTAGAACTTGATTTATTGTATTAGAAAGAAGCAAACAAATTTTATTTTTTCTATTTATACCTGAGCTATAACTTCTGAGCCCTTGATGGAGTGAATCGCTGCCTCCTAGTTGCTATAAGAATACAGTCTGATTATCTTTTTTTTTTTTAAAGATTTTATTTATTATGTATACAACATTCTGCTTCCATGTATATCTGCACACCAGAAGAGGGCACCATAACGGATGGTTGTGAGCCACCATATGGTTGCTGGGAATTGATCTCAGGACTTCTGGAAGAGGAGCTAGGGCTCTTAACCTCTGAGCCATCTCTCCAGCCCCCAGTCCGATTATCTTGATTCTTAACATTTTGGCAAAAGGGAAACAGGCCTATGAGAACGTCTTGTCTCCATCGTTTCTTAGCAACATTTAAAGACTGAATGTTTTCTTCTTCAAATTGATTTCTATCTATATTATATCCTGTGAAGATATTTGGAAGCCTAAATGAACATGAAACAAGATTGCCTCCTGTCCCTTTCGGTAGCTTTGGTTTTAGATGTAAATGTAAGCCATAAGAATGATCCTTACAGGGCTGGAGAGATGGCTCAGAAGTCAAGAGCACTCACTGGCTGCTCTTCCAGAGGTCCTGAGTTCAATTTCCAGCAACCACATGGTGGCTCAAAACCACTTATAATGGGATCTGGTGCTCTCTTCTGGCATAAAGGTGTACATGCAAAATAAAATAAGTAAACCTTTTTTCTTTTAATTTTAAAAATTTATTTCTATGTGCATTGGTGTTTTGCCTACGTGTATATTTGTGTGCAAGTGTCAGATCTTGGAGTTACAGGCGGTGTGAGCTGCCATGTGGGTGCTGGGAATTGAACCTAGGTCCTCTAGAAAAGCAGTCAGTGCTCTTAACCGCTAAGCCATCTCTCCAGCCTTAAGTAAATAAATCTTTAAAAAAAAGAAGCAGCAGCAGCATGATCCTTACAAGCACCTCTGTCTTTTAGGTCCTATCTGAAATGTATAACATTCCTGGCATCATTTGAGACATTGAATATTCCCATCACATATGAATTATTTTGCAACAGTCCCAAGGAAGGAATGATTAAGGGCTTGTGGAAGAACCATAGCCACGAATCTATGGTACGTAGAGTCACTAAGCATGGCCAAGCATGGCGCTCCTTTCCTTTCATATGCAGTGTGAGTTGCTCAGTCACCTACCACAACTCAGCTGACCAGAGACCTTTTGCCTCCAGTAGGTCCAATGCCCTAGACCTCTCCTGTGTTTGCAGCCCTTGGAATGGAATTTTAAGGCGATTTGGAAGGTCCTTTCTGCCTTTCTTAGAGTACATGGGCTAGTCATGCCTGGAGACAAGGAAGAGCACTTGTACTCCCTTCCAAGGCTTGCCCCCTAGGGAGGGTGGCATTCTCTCCCGCCTAGTCACCTTTGGAAAACTGATCATTGTTGCAGTTGGAGCTGGGACAGGAATGAAGCCAGTAGGCAGGCTGATCTTGATTAGAAACAGGAAAGAGAAGAGCCTTCTTTTTTCTTAGTTAGGAAATGGAGTCCTTCACTGAGACTAGGCATTAGACATTTGTGGGCTATATCCATATGTCTTATGAGGCTGTTGGACTTGCTTGCCAGTGTCTTAAAGCAATGTAATTTTGTTGTTTTCTTGTTTGGTGTTTTGGCTTTTAGGCAGTACGATTGGTGGCAGAGCTTTGCTTAGAATACAAAATCTATGACCTGCAGCTTTGGAATGGGCTCTTGCAGAAGCTTCTTGGCTTCAACATGGTAAGACTTGGGCTTCCTGAAACACAACATCCCCAACACGTGTTGAATCAGCACCAATTATTGATGTATGCTGCAGGCATTTGCTCTTGGGCTCCTGCCAGACTTAGACTGTTAGAGAAAGTCAAATTCAAAGTGACCTTGAGGAGCTGGGAACATAGCTCAGTACCCAGCACAGTGCCCCATGTCTGCAATCCCAGCACTCGGGTGATAGAGGCAGGAGACTCAGAGATGTGGTCATGTTCCTTTGCATATCTAGTTTGAAGCCATCCTGTGCTACATGAAACCCTGTCTCAAAAAGAAAAAGAAGGAAAAAGTATGCACAATTGCTTAATGTGATGGTAATCCCAACTGTTGTGGTTGCCCATGAATTGAAGCCAGCCTGGGCTGTGGAGTGAGGTCCTATCTCAAATACAGTTTAAAAAAAGTTCAATATTTTGTGTTGAGGTATTGAAACTTAGCGTTTTGGTAATCCTTAAAATCTTTAAATTTTCTTTCCTTTTACAGATTCCTTACCTAAGGAAAGTTTTATCTTCCATTTCTAGCGTCCATTCATTATGGCAGGTATGCACTTTTCCTTTAAGTTCTGTCTCTGTGCTCGGTAGTTTCTGGGCACCTTGTGCTGAGCCATCAGCTTCTTAGTAAAGAACAGAACAGATGTACCCGTGTGGGACAGCCTCCCAGCATCCTCAGCTGGCATTTCGCCATCTTGAAGGCGCCTCTTCCTGAGTTCTCTAGGCTTCATGAGTCATTTGGCACTACTACTGTAGCATTTGTCACAGAATCGTTTATTTTAATTACACATTGGACTGCCCCCTCACCTTCAAGATCTGTAAAATTGGAGGCTTATTTGTTCTGTCTTTTCAGTCTCTTGAGTTGTGTATCTACATAATCATTGTACAGAAGTAGATCATTTAAGGGGCCAGTGAGAGATGGCTCAGTGTTAAAGGCATTTGCCACCAAGACTGACAATTTGAGTTCGAATCTTGGGTCCCATGTGGTAGAATGAAAGGAAAAAACACCCACAAGTTGTCCACCAACTGTGGTGCATCACTAGCTCACAATTAAAAAAAAAAAAATCATAACTTTCTAAAAGTTTTAAAAATAATTAGGTAATTTATTCTTAATATAATTGTGAGAATATACTAAGTGAAACATTAAAATTCCCCTTTACTTAGCCAGGTGTGGTGGCATGCATCTTAATTCCAGCACTCAAGAGGCAGAAGCAAGAGGATCTCTGTGAGTTTGAGGCCAGCCTGGTCTATAGAGCAAGTTTCAAGACAGCCAAAGATACAGTGAAAAACCCTATCTCAAAAAACAACAATAAGGGGCTGGAGAGATGGCTCAGCAGTTAAGAGCACTGACTGCTCTTCCAGAGGTCCTGAGTTCAATTCCCAGCAACCACATGGTGGCTCACAATCATCCATTTTAAGATCTGGTGCCCTCTTCCCTCTTCTGGTGTGCAGATATACATGGAAGCAGAATGTTATAAAAAAATAAAATCTTAAAAAAAAAAAAAAAAAAAGCGGGGGGTGGGGGGCGCATGCCTTTAATCCCAGCACTCGGGAGGCAGAGGCAGAGGCAGGGGGGTCTCTGAGTTCGAGACCAGCCTGGTCTACAAGAGCTAGTTCCAGGACAGCCTCCAAAGCCACACAGAGAAACCCTGTCTCGAAAAACAAAAAAAACAAAAAACAAAAAACAACAATAAAATACTCCTTTACTAGTCCTTCTAGAGTTACTTTCCTGTTACATGAGCATACTTGTGTGTATGTGTGTACATACATAAATGCAGTCAAGTTTTTGTTTGTTTTATTTTTTGGAGATAGGATTTCTCTGTGGCTTTGGAGCCTTTATTGGAACTCGATCTATAGACCAGGCTGGTCTCGAACTCACAGAGATCCGCTTGCTTCTGCCTCCTGAGTGCTGGGATTAAAGGTGTGCACCATACCACAGTCATGTTTTAAGGTGCTATTTTTTTCTTTAATTATGCGCATGTGTGTGCATGTCTCTGTGGGTATCTGCACATGAGTGAAGTGCCTGAGGAGACCAGAAAAGGGTTTTGGGTTCCCTGGAACTGGAATTACAGCAGTCATGGAGCCCCCTGACATGGAAGCTGGAAAATGAACATTTGTCCTCTGCACGAGCAGCCAAAACTCTTAACCACTGAGTTGTCACTCCAGTCCTTAAGGTGGTGTTTCCACAAAATAGGAGTATCTGGGAGACTGTTCAGTCTCAAGACAGGTAGATCTGTCTTTGTTTATTAAGGTAAAATTCACCCTTTCAAAGGTATGTTTTTAAATGGGTTTTACTATATTTACAAAGTTGCAAAACCATCTCTATTGGCTAAAATAGAATGTTTTCCTCACTTTAGAAAGAAATCTCAGAGCTAGGAGTACATACAGGTCAGGGTAGCATACATGAGGCCCTAGGTTCTGTCCCCAGTACTGCCTAAAAGAGAAAAAAGAGCCCCATATCTGATAGCCATCCTTTCCTTCATCCAGCCCTCAGCAACTCCTAATCTTTGTATAGATTTATTTCTTTTAGACATTTCACATCAAATGGATCACACAGTATATGGCTGTCCTTCTGTGCCTGGCTTCTACTGTGGCTAAACACTACATTGTAGCATTTTCCATTCTTCATTTCTTTTATTACCAAATATATGCAAATATAGTAGACCTATGATTTCTGTGCGGGTTAGCTCTAGGACACCACACTCTGCAGATTCCATAATCTTTGCCTGAGTCCCATATATGAAAAAGCATACTGTTTGCATGTAACATATTCACTTCCTTCTATAAATTTATCTTTTATTTTTTATTACATTTTACTTAGTTATTTTGTGTGTGTCACGTATTATGAGTGGCAGTCAGACAGCAACTTGTGAGAGTCAATTCTCACCTTCTACCATATAGGTCCTTAGATCAAACTCAGGTTATCTGTCTTGGCAGCAGGCACCTTTATCCACTGAGCCACCTCAGCAGTGTATATTTTAAGTCATCTCTAGGTTACTTTAACACACAGCACTGTACACATTGCTGTATAAATAATTGTCATACTGTATCATGTAGGAATCATGACAGGGAAAATGTCTATACCCGCTCACTATGGACATACGATTTTAGTCTCAACATGTACAACATACGTTTTGATTGAACTGTTCTGTGACTTTGAAGCAGAGTTTCTAGTGTTCAGGACACGGGTTCTTCAATGCCCATATTTCCACAGGTTCCCTACTTCAGCAGGGCTTGGCAGTGTGTGATCCAGATCCCTCTGCTCTCAGGTGAGCTTCTGGCCTCTCTATGTTCACAGTAGCATGTTTGGGTGGTTTTGTGGTAAGACAGGGTTTTGCTCTATAGCCCCAGGCTAGCTTTAAACAGTATTCCTGCCTCAGCCTCTCAAGGGCTGGGATTACAAGTTTAGCCACCAGGCCTGGCTGATGTGGTCATTACCTTTTCTCTTCAGCTTCCTGTCCTTTAAGACCCAGCCAGTTATCAGATTGCTGTGAGAGTCTCGTCGCCATCCTAGAGTGAGTAGATTTGTGTTTTCTTATAAAGAAAGTGAGACTTATTGCTTCGAAGTTCCTTTCCAGTTATTATCTCTGAACACGGTGGCCTCCATATCCATGGTTACTCCCTGGATGTCAGTCATCCTGTCACCATTTTCCATGTTGTTTTTAGTTTCCTTTTTACACAGGGTCTCATGTAGCCTGGCTAGCCTTTAACTTGTCTTGTGCTGAGACTCTTGATCCTCTTGCCTCCACCTCTAGAGAGCTGGGATGATGGGTGTGTGTACCACATGTAGCTTCAGAAACTTTCTGTTTTGTTTTAATAAAAGGTCTCATGTAACTCAAGCTGGTCTCAGACTCTATGTGCAGCTGACTTTTAATTCTTTCTACCTACACCTCTCAAGTGCTGGTATTACAGGCTTGTGCCACAGAGCCCAGTTTTATGACATGCTAGTGATCTATCTCAAGGCTTTGTTTGTTCTAGGTAAGCACTATACCAACTGAGCTACATTCCCAGCCTCAGAGTAGTTCCTTTTTTTTTTTTTTTTTTTTTTTGAGCAGGGTTTCTCTGTGTAGCTTTGGAGCCTATCCTGGCACTCGCTCTGGAGACCAGGCTGGCCTCGAACTCACAGAGATCCACCTGCCTCTGCCTCCCGAGTGCTGGGACTAAAGGTGTGCGCCACCAACACCCGGCGCATCTATTATTTTTGTAACACCACTTTCCACATGTGCTGGAAAGTTTTCTCCAAAGCTGATGGTCACAGCCCTCTGAGATTAGTGCCTGATATTAATGTAGGTTTACAGTGCCTCTTCTTCTTCTTTTTTTTTTTTAATTTTATTTATTATGTATACAACATTCTGCTTCCATGTATATCTGCGCATCAGAAGAGGGCACCAGATCTCATAATGGATGGTTGTGAGCCACCATGTGGTTGCTGGGAATTCAACTCAGGACCTCTGGAAGAGCAGTCAGTTCTCTTAACCTCTGAGCCATCTCTCCAGGCCCCAGTGCCTCTTCTTGCTAAGTTCTGTAGTGTTGTCACGTGGATCCTGGGCATCTAAGAATTTTGCTTGTTTGTTTTTGTTGCTCCACCACCGCCCCCAGACAGGTTTTCTCTGTGTAGCCCTGGCTTTCCTGGAACTCTTCTCTGTAGACCAGGCTGACCTGGAACTCACAGATCCTCCTGCTTCTGCCTCCTGAGGGCTGGGCTGTTCTCAGAGGCTCATTCCTCATGAGTAAGAATGTGCTGTGTATCAGCACTCAGGCATTTACAGTAACTGACAGTGGACGGGAAGCCCCATGCAAAGTGAGAAAGGCTAATTTGGTCTAGTAATCCGCCAAGCCATTAACTAATTATTGCCTCTCTCCTAGATGCCCAGTTTCGGATGACCTTGACATGATCGGAGTCGCCAAGCAGTATGTACAGCTAGAGCTTCCAGCTTTTGCACTGGCTTGTCTAATGCTAATGCCCCACTCTGAAAAACGGCAGCAGCAGATTAAGGTATCTTATGTGTTGTTCCTTCAGGGCTGCCTGCACATACTGCCTGTCCCTCACAAGAGATTTCCTGTCACCAAACCTACAAAGCATGCGTACTCAGTGTGGGTGAGGTGGGCTAATGGGAAGTAACAAGGCTGATTGATGTGAGCTGAAAGATAGCTTAAAAGAGTTTGGACATTACTCTGTTATCTCCGGGAAATCGATTTTCTAGGCAGAGCAAAATGAAGCAAGAAAAGCAGCATTTTATCAGGACTGTCCTCAGCCATGTGTGGCACATGCATCTTTTTCTTTTTCAACTTTTGTTTGGTTTTTCAGCACAGGGTTTCTCCATGTACCCCTGGCTGTCCTGGAATTGTAGACCAGGCTAGCCTCAAACTCAGAGACCTGCCTGCCTCTGCCTCCCAAGTGCTGGGACTAAACTCGTGCACCACCACCACCCAGCTCATCTTTTTTTTTTTTTTTCAATTTTTAATAGAACTGATGAACTTTTAATTTAAGGGAAAGTATGTATAGAAGTAACCCTGAAGAGAGTTACACAGCTCCAGTGTAGCTAAGGACAAGCTTCCTCCACCTGAGTGCTGTGATTACAGGTGCACTCACTATGCCCAGTTTCTTAAGTCAGAGGCTAAAACCTGGGGTTTGGTACACGATGGGCGAATACTCTACCAAGTGGGTTTATGCTCAGCTCTTAAAGAGTTTTATAAAATCTTGCAGACTTGACAGAAATTAGATGTAATAACCCTTTTTAATTATGCTTTAATTTTTTGCCCTAGAATTTCCTGGATTCATGTGATGCTCAGATCATTTTACAGCAATTAGAAGAACATATGAGCACTGGCCAACTAGCAGGGTTTTCCCACCAAGTAAGGGACAGTTTCATTTCATTTTGCTATGTCTGATCATAGATGGTAATTCTTACCCCTCAAATAACACTCTTTCACTCTTATTAAAAACTTAGTGTTTTAATAGTACCTGGCTGGGGATGTCACTTAGTGCGCACTTAGTGTCACTTGCCTCTCATCCTCCAGAGCCTGGATTCAAAACCCAGCATTACATAAAAATAAAAATAAAAAAACAGTTGTGGCTGTCTTGTTTACTGCTGTGCCCACTGGAGAAATTGTGCCTATAAATACTTGTAATTGGATCCTCTTCCTCACTTAAAAATCCACAAGTGGGTAACAAGAAGAGCTTTCTCTCCATGTACTGCACTAAGCCACATGCCCTGCTCCTGGAGACTTAATCCCAGAGAACTAACAATTCATCTCTGTCAGAAACTTGTCATTGACAAAAGGCTTAAAATTAAACACATTTTTGATATAATGATAACTTGCATTTCATAGATTAGAAGTCTGATTCTGAATCATGTCATAAATAAGAAGGAATTTGGAATTTTGGCAAAGACAAAGTATTTTCAATTGTTGAAATGGCATATGATAAACACCAACAATATCACTGAATTGGTAAACTATCTGGCAAATGACTTGAGGTAAGTTAACATGGGGGGCTCCGACTTGCTGTAGAATGTCCTTCAAATGTGTCTTGATGCTAGAGAAGAAAGCATGATAAACCTGTGTGGTTGTGACCAAGGCTGCAGCATTAGCCGCAACATCCCTGCACATTCCCGGGAGTTGGTCTTCCTGTGGCTGGGAACCTTGGGACATGAGTCTATCATCCAGTAATTAAAGGAGCTGTCTGGATCCTCAAAATAGGTTTCTCATAGTCCTGTTCTGAACCCTAGATTACAACTTTATTCCTTAATGTTTGCATGGCACGTTGCTGGTGTTATGTAACAGGATTCTTGCTAAGCTTGGTTAGTTAGCTTTCTACACCCACAGGTTCAGAAACAGTGAGCTGCTTGAACTGGGGTCAGGATTGGATATGGAAAGTTAGAAGAGGAATACCAGCTGGCCACTCAGGGGTCCTGTCTCCTCCCACACACCACGATTCTAGCTGCTTGTTCATCCTCAGGATCCAGTCATGATTGCATTGCAGAATATGGATGAATGTTAATTTATGAGTTCAAATTGAAATTTTATGTGAAGAATACAACTTGATACATTTTGACATCTCTATATATTGTTGAAGTCATCACTACAGGAATCACCCAAAAGGGCCTCTTCACAGCTGCCTTGTTCTTTCTGGTTCCAGTTTAGATGAAGCATCAGCTTTGATAATTGAGTATTCAAAACATTGTGGGAAATCTGTGCCATCAGATGCAGCTCCTTGTGAAATCCTGAAGGTAAAACTAGCTAATTATTGCTTCAATTCAAATATGAGACTATATTTTAATTAAATTAGTGTATGTGGGGTGTGTGGGGTATACTCATGTTCACATGCACACACAGTCTTTCCACCATGGATTCTGTGGATCAAATTCAGATTGTTGAGCTTTACATGGCAAGCACTTTTTTTGGTTGTTTGTTTGTTTGTTTGTTTTTATCCTGGCACTCGCTCTGGAGATCAGGCTGGCCTCGAACTCACAGAGATCCACCTGCCTCTTCCTCCCAAGTGCTGGGATTAAAGGCATGTGCCACCACTGCCCAGCTATGTGGCAAGAGCATAACTGTGGTTTCCTTCTGAGTACTGTGTCATGCCAATATCACATCTACACAAACCTAGATGGTCTTGGTATGTCACCCAGTGTGTCCTCTCGATGCAGGTAGAAGACACAGGAAGCCTGGGTCTGGTCAGTACAGTACTTCAGTCTCTTCTACACTACAAAGTGTGTTCTTTAAGCAGGAGTACATGCTAAAGCAATGCTTCTTAGCCTTCCTAAACACAACAGTTCCTCATGTTGTAGCGACTCCCAACCATAAAATTATTTTTGTTGCTACTTTATGACTGTAATTTTGCTTGTTATGAATCATAATGTAAATATTTTGGAGATAAAAGGTTTTCCAAGGGGGTCATGACCCATAGGTTGAAAACCGCTGCACTAAAAGAATGATTAAAAAGTATGTGTGGTCAGTAGACTAGCAACATCATTTATTATCACCTTTTTTGTTGTTGTTGTTGTTGTTATTCTGAGACAGGGTTTCTCTGTGTAGCTCTGGCTGTCCTGGAACTCACTATGTAGACCAGGCTGGCCTCAAGCTCACAGAGATCTGCATGTCTCTGTCTCTGCCTCAGGAGTACTGGGATTAAAGGCAAGTACCACTACACCCAGCTTCATTATCAACTATTATGTGCACATGGTTATCTATGCTATATTTGGTTTGTTGACATCAGCATCCCCATAAACATGAGCAGTGTGTTGTACTAGTCTACTACAGAAACTATGATGTCACTAAAGCCCCACAGGCTAAGTGACCCTGCCTGAGTCATTTGCTGCCTAATGGCCCAGCTGTGAATGCAGCCCCAGGATCTTGGCATGCTGCACTCCATCTGTACATTGTTACCTTCCATAAATAACTAGCTGTGTTTGTGTCCAGTCACTTGTGCTCTGTGGCCATGTTAGTTAGACTCTGTTGTGACAGACACTGAAGAGAAACAGCTCAAAGGAACAAAGATTTGTTTTTGGCTCCATTTCCAAGATTGCAGTCCACAGCCATGGCTCATTTTCATCCTTTGACCAGACAACATGATTTCATAAAGCTGCTCATCTCAAGGTAGAAAGTCAGACAGGGAGTGGCAGGGCCAGGAAACAACTATCAAGGCACAGCCTCAGTGAGCTGAGTCCTCTAACCCAGCCCATCTCTAGGCCAGCGAAGCCAACAAACTGACATCCAGTAGGCCAGATACAGATCAGTGTCACCCAATGCTGACACCATAGCAGCACAGTATTGACTGTGAAAAAAAAAAAAAATGAGACTATTGATTGAGACAAATTTGTAACCTGTAAAGTTTGTTTCTCTCTAGTTGTACCTGCCTTCAAATGTGAGGTGCATTTATATGTGTACATTAGCAATAGCTGAGCCATAGGTTCTGTAGCTTATCTAACAATTTTCTATTTAAAATTTGAACCTAGGGCTGACAAGATGGCTTAGCAGGGAAGAGCAGGTGCTGCCAAGCCTGATTGTGAGATCTTAATCCCCAAAACCCCCAAAGCTGTCCTCTGACATTTGTGTGCATGTGCTCTCTCTCTCTCTCTCTCTCTCTCACACACACACACACACACACACACACACACACACACACACACACACACTAACTGTAATAATAACGATAATGAAACCCTGACACTCATATGTTATGCTTCTGTTTTTTTCCCCCTCTAGACATTTCTTGGTGGATCCTCGTAAATCAAACAATTTTTTTTCAAAAACAAGAGGAAGTTTGGAGTCTGCGACTAATTTATTGCAGTATATAAATTGTGCAATCTATATTTCATTATCCTGAAATGAATATCTAAGACATTCAATACTAATATAACCATGACTTAAGTATCTTGCATGCTGAATTAATAAATATTTTAATATTGGTTCCTTGTGTAATTTGGAGTCTCAGTTTTTTACACTGTACATGAAAATAGTTCACTCGCTAGTCAGTGATGGCGAATACCTTTAATCCCAGTGCTCCAGAGGCAGACTGATCTCTGTGAGTTCGAGGCCAGCCTGGTCTTCAGAGTGAGTTCCAGGACAGCCAGAGCTACACAAAGAAACCCTGTCTCAAAAACAAAACAAAATAGTTCAGTCTCAGGCTGGAGAGGTGTCTCAGCAGGTAAGAGCACTGACTGCATTTCCAGAGGACCCACCCAATTCAGTTCTCTGCACCCACGCTGCAGCTCAGAACCATTTAAATCCAGTTCCCAGGAACCTGGTGCCCTCTTCTGGCCTCCAAGGGCACCAGGAGTGCACATGCAGGCAAACACTCATACAGTTAGAATAAATAGTCCACCCTTCTCTTAAAAAAGAATCCTGTTTTAATTCTTTAAAACAGGATCTTTAATTCTTTAAATTTAATTCCTGTTTCTTCCATGTATAAAAACCCTGTCTTGGGGTGGATGATGGCTTAGCTGGTAAAGTCCTGCCATGCAAGCACCACGAATGGAATTCAGGTCCTCAACATCATCTAAGAAGCCAGGACTGTGGCTTGGGCTTGTATATTTCTGTCAAATTAAGAGAAATTGACTAAGCAACTCAGTGATAGCTTTCAGGAAAAAACTAAAAGAATTGTTTATTTAAATAAAGTATTTGAAAAAATGCATACAGAAAAATAATTGGTGGATTTTCCCCCTTTAAAATGGTTATATAAGGTTGCCTAGGAAGAGTCTCACTGTGGGGCCCTGGATGCTTGGAACTCACGGTTTAGATCCTCAAACTCACAGAGATCCACCTGCCTCTGCCTCCATAATGCCACACCACACAATAAAATTACTTTTAAAAAATGGACTATTGAGCCAGGCATTGGTGGCGCACACCTTTAATCCCAGCACTCAGGAGGCAGAGGCAGGCCGCTCTCTGGGAGTTCGAGGCCAGCCTGGTCTCCAGAGCCAGTGCCAGGGTAGGCGCCAAAGCTACACAGAGAAACCCTGTCTCAAAAAACAAAAAAAAAAAAAAAAAAAAAAAGGACTATTGTTTTGTTTTCCTTGCCCTTAGTCATGTTGCCTGGCTGATCTAACTGTAACTCAATATGGCTTCAACCTTAGAATTTCCTGCCTCTGCCTCCCATACATACATTAAAGTTACTGTTAAATCAGGGATAGAGCTGGTGAGTTTGCTGAGCAGATAAAGTCACCTGCCCCCAGCCCTGGTAACTGTTTAATCTCCAGGTCCCACAGAATGGAAGTTTCAGGGTTATCTTTGACTATGTAAGGAGTTCTAGGCCAGTGTGGGACACATGAGACTCTAAAAAGTAAAATAAAAATCATTTTTAGCTGAGTATGGTGATACATGCCTTTAATCCAAATATCTGAGAGGTAGAGGCAGGAGGATCTCTTAAAACAAAACAAAAACAAACAAAAAAACACCGTTGGTCAGCCAAGAATATAGCCCTGTGGTGAGAACTCCTGAAAGACCATCTCTGGTACTGTTGGTGTCAGGTTTGTATGTTTTATCCTCTAAATTCACCTCAAAAACAAAAGTAAGGTGAGGCCCATGCTTCCAGAAGATAGAATATACATATTTTGTGCTATTCCTCTTAAATACAAATATAAACTCTGCATACAAAACTAAAAAGTAGAGAAATACAGGTGGCCAAGGACCTCAGCCCTGTGCACACTACACATTTGTTGGTGGCACTTTGCTATGTAGCCCTAGGTTGTCTTGACGCACTGCTAGAAAAAGTCCCAATGTAAAGTACTCTCAGTAGCCAGGGAACCAGGGCAGAATCAGCCTGATGAGGAGGTGTCTGCTCATCCGGGCACAAACAGAAGCATAGTGCCACCCCAGCAAAATGTCTCTCAATACACTTAAAATGGGTGAGTTACTGCAGTCAGTTTCAGTTAACAAAGTGGTGAAGGTAACCTGTGGGTGAAGCTGTCTAGAAGGCTACACGAGAATCTACCATTTGGGGACAGAGGTTTGATCTGGGAGAGAAATGTTTTGGTCTGTGCCATATTAGTATCAGCTTCCTGTTAATGATGCTCATTTAGCAAGGGGGCAGAAGCAAGTGGATCTCTGTGAGTTCGAGGCCAGCTTGGTCTACAGAGTAAGTGCCAGGACAGCCAGGGCTACACAGAGAAACCCTGTCTCAAAACAAATAAGATTGTCTTTAAAATGCTCATTTGGTTGGGTTTAGCTCTGGCTGACTTGGAACTTACTGTGTAAACCAGGCTGGCCTAGAAGTCCAAAGAATTCTCCCATCTCTGCCTTCTACCTGTTGGGATTACAGCACATATCACAGCTATTAGTTTTGAGACATCTCATTATGTAGCCCAGGTTGGCCTGGAGTTAGTTCATCTTCCTCCTTCATCTATTCCCTACGTGCACCACCAGACCCAGACAGTGTGCTTTTTTTTTTCATGAGAAAACATGGTGAGAAAAGAAAACTGCATTTCATTCATGCTCAGCAAGACAAGGATTTAGCAAAGAGTGGGCCAGCCTTTTCAAGACAGCAGGTACAACAGCAGCAACTTGATGTATATAATTCACCATAGAAAAAGTGATTATACTTACTACCTAGTTGGGTTTTTTTTAAGATTTTATTTTTTTTTTTAATTGTGTGTGTGTGTGTGTGTGTGCTCGAGTGTGCACACATGGGTATGTGAGTGCAGATATTCTTGGAGGCCAGAGGAGGGTGTTGGATCCCTTGGAGTTAAAAGTGGTTATGAGCCACTTGACATGGCTGCTAGGAACTGAATTTGAATCCCTGCATGAGCTCTTCATCTGCTGAACCATCTCTCCAACCGCTATTATAAGCCATTTTGTTTTGTTTTGTTTGAGGCAGGGTTTCTCTGTGCAGCCCTGGCTGTCCTGGAACTCTCTTTGTAGACCAGGCTGTCTTAGAAATCAGAGATCTGGGGCTGGAGAGATGGCTCAGCGGTCAAGAGCACTGGCTGCTCTTCCAGAGGTCCTGAGTTCAATTTCCGCAACCACATGGTGGCTCACAACCACCTTGAATGAGATCTGGTGCCCTCTGCTGGCATGCAGGCAGAAGACTATATACGTAATAAATAAGTAAAATCTTTAAAAAAAAAAAAAAATCAGAGATCTTCCTGCCTCTGCCTCCCAAGGACTGGAATCAAAGGCATGCACCACCACCTCCTGACATACTGTAAGTCTTTAAAAATAAGAGTTTTGGGGGAGAGGGGGCTGGAAAGATGGTTCAGTGGTTAAGAGCACTCCCAGCACCCCCATGGTACAGTTTAAAACTGTAACTGTGGTTTCAGGGGATCTGACACCTTCATACCAATGCACATAAAATAAAGTTAAATAAATTATTTAAAGAAAATAGGAGTTTTTGATCTTTCTTATTTTCAAGAAGGGTCTTGTTAGGTTGTTCAGGCTAGCCTCAAACTGCCTGTGGTTTCCAGGAATGATCTTTAGCTTCCCATGTGTTGGGATTACAGGCATGTGCCACTGTACCTAGTTAAAAATGTCTTCATTGGTTTCACGTTCTGACATTGGTATTGTAAAAGGACCACAGTCTTGAGAGCCAGGCATGCTCAGGTTACCAAACTGCTTGTAACTATAGGTTTATTACCTAGACTGGATTGTTCAGTCTTTCTGAACCATCATATCCATCATATCCATAATGTGAGGATAATATACGTCCTCCATGGTCTGTGAGGGAATGTGAGGTAGCATATTGTCCTCGATATAACACATTCTTAATACCCCTGTGTCATCCACTGTTGAATGTCCTCTAGACATTTAGATGGAGGATGCGATAGTCTCCTTAGTATAAGCTTATCTCACACTTACTATGTAGACAATGATAGCCTCCAACTCTGTTCCTCCTACCTCTACTCCCAAGTCTTGGGATTACAGACATGTCCCACCAAGTCCAACTATTTAGATTGCACTAATAGTGTTTTAAATATTGGCTGGGCATGATGGTGCAAACTTTTAACCCCAGCATTTAGGAGGCAGACAGGTAGATCTCTGATTTCTAGGCCATTGAGGTTATATACTGAGATCCTGTCTTAAACCCCTCCCTCCCAAAATATTTATATTTGTGTGTGTGCCTGTGCTCCCCGCCCCCCCCAACACAGGAGTGAGTACGGATATCAGCAGAAGACAGCATCAAATGCCCTGGAGCTGGACTCCTGAGCTGCCTTATGTGGGTGCTGGAACATCTGGTCCTCGGAATGCAAGAGGGCTTATTCCAGCCCTCACTAATAGGTTTCTACAGATTTTCATATTTGGAGTCGTTGACATTCCCGGGGCCAGTGAAATGACTTAGAGGGGAAAGGTGCTTGTGGCAAAACGTGAGTTACCTGAAATTGATTCCCAGGACCTACATGGTAGGGGAGGACCCACTCTTACAAGTTGTCCTCTGACCTCCACATTCATGCTGTGACACACATGTGGCCCCCCACACCCCCACACACATACACACATACATACACACAAAATAAAGGGATTTTTGAAGATACATTCCTAGGAATAGTCTTAACTGGATCCTGCCTACCTGTACTGCACATTGCTGAACTGCCTGCATGCAATTCAGAAGGTCTTAGTGGCCTTTCCTACTAGAAAGACAACGCTTTACTGTATTGTCACCAACACTCAGCAAGCTTGTCTTTAAAAACCTGTTGTTAATCTCCTAGGTGAACATGCTGAATTATATACATTTATATTTTTATTTCTTTCTTTCTTTTTGTTTGTTTGTCTGTTTTGAAAAATGGTTTCTCTGTAGCTTTGAAAACTGTCCAAGAACTCTCTTTGTAAACTAGGCTGACCTCTGCCTCTCGAGTGCTGGGACTTAAGGCATGTGCCACCACTGCCCAGCATATTTGTATCTCTTTAATATTTGTAATCTGTCTGGTATGTGGCTCAGTTGCTAAAGTACTTTCCAGCATGTGCAAGACCCTGCATTCAATTCCCAGCCT